TTCATCAAAGCACTCCATTTAACCTCCTTTAGTCTTTTCTAGAAAACTTCAGAACTTGTAGTTTCCTCTCACCTGTTTCGGAAAATAATACCATTTCAATTCGGCTGGATTGCAAAAATTCGACATTAGACGAGCAGATTTTGGCTCTGTTTTGTTTGTTGGTTCTTTTTTTGTATTTTTCCTCAGCAGCATATTTAGTTTACCAAATTATTAGACTTTTGGCTTCATTTTCTCGTTATATCAACTCTAAATTCTATTAGAGGAAAAGGAACACGAATATTATAGCGGTTGCGAAACTGCACCACCCGAACCTTATCTCATTATCAATGAGCCTCGAATGAATACACGGGGTTGAGGCATTATCATAGTCTGTGATGCATGTGTGTTCTGCACGAGATTGGAAGTTTTAGTTTCCTATTAAGCCAAAAAACTAAGGAAATGGCCCTTAAATTCGCAAATTCGAGATTCTAGACCACGCAACAAAAATGCAAACGACTTTCCTACATGGCGCCATAACGCAAGATGAAACCTTGTGCCCAGCTTTATACAGCCAATACTGATCTCATCAAAGTGACCGTGACAGTGATAACAACAATGACAGATACAGTAACAGTAACAGTGACGGTGAAAGTGACATGGAATGAAACACAAATGGAAACAAAGACCGAGACCGTGACACTGATAGTGAAGAGACAGCGAAAGAGGCAGCGACGATGCTGTAGACGGTGACAGTGACTGATGCTGACAGTGACAATAAAGTAACACTAGCTGACATTGAAAATGACAGAGACAGTGATAGTGACTATTAAAAACACTGCGACAGTGACAGTAGAACTCATAGTGAAAGCGAGAGGGACTGATAAAATGTCGTCGAAGTGGGTAATTGGATGCTTGGGGACTCTCATTGCCTTGTTAATGGTGTTTGATGGGTTAAACAGATTCTTAATTTACCCTTGGTCTCGCTAACTAAGCCGTTGGTTCATACGGTCCGCATAACTTTCATTCGCTTTCCACCTTGTCCAACTGCTCTTTGATTTTGGCAGGTCTTGCTACTAACTACTGGTGGACATCGTCATAGGGTGGGTGACTTTTGGGCCTAAATCAAAAGAAATAGGCCTCCCAAACTGTCCAAACCCGGTATGCACATAAGGAAATGCTTAGAAAACCCACTCCAGAGTCATTGTGGCAGGGCGGGGTGATAAAGACGTGTTTGATGAAAAACGTCAAACATGCGTCCTGGCGGCTTAAGCATGTCTCGCTCGTGCGAGATCTCGGTTTTTGGCAGCTGTACTGAGGCCTAAGAATGGGGGTCTGGGAGTGTGGCGGTACCATGTGATGTTCCAAGTGAATGGACTTTATCTGCACGGATCTTAACCACACCCAGGTTGACACAGTCTGAGCCAGACAGGAGGTGTATGTCTTGTGTATGCGAGTCTCTCAAATCATGAAATGCGAGGAGGTGGTACCCTGCTCTGATTTCAGCCAGTTATTCTAATTTACCAGTAGTTATGAGCTTACAGTTGTCATAGGTGAATAAAGGTTGCTTACTAGGGGTGAGACAGTTTTTGAGCTTCTGCCTAGGAGAAATCAATGACTGAGCAATTTTTTCTGGTATTGTGTTGCAAGTGCAGGCAGTATCTAGCTGCACCCTGATTGATTTGGTAAGGTCCTTGGTCAAACTGATTATCAAGTGGCTGAAGAATCTACGCCCCAGCGCCGCGCCATGAGGATTTTTTGAAATGTTGTAGACACTTTGGACATCCTCTTTTAGTTTAATATCCACCTCCAAGTGGTTAGTTTCATGCTCTTCCCCTAAACTGACATAAAGATGGTGTGCCTGGGGTTTGGTGCTCACAAACTCAGAGGATCTGGCTAAAGATGGTGCTCCTATTCGACATATGCAGGCAGTGTCCGATTCTCTCTTAGCCTTTCTTAGAGCACCGCTTGTTTGATGGAGCGAGGGTCTGACATATGCAGCCTTACGCTAACAGTTAGATTGACCTTTACCCTCCTATGCTCTGACTTTGGGGGTGTTTTTGTGTCTCTGTAGTTAGTTTGTTCGCGGGGACCTTTAGCTTGCTGCATCGCCTTAGCCTTCTCACATTGCTCATAGTTCTTAGCTACCTATAACATCGTCTCAAATAAAACTATGTCCTTCGTTGTCCTATCTGTTGCTTCAACAGGAGGCTCGCTGTCGCACCATCTAATGAGTTCGGACCAATCTTTGAACATCTGTATGAACTTTTCATAACTTCTTTGTGGAGCATGACCACTGCGACTCCCTGTCCCGACGCGAACGCCATCGTCAGTTTTATGTTTATTGCTGACCTCCGGGAACCGTGCTAAATTGGCTGGAGTCCCACTCCTGATACCATGTTGTAGAACAAGGAAACACTACGAAACTATAAATGGATGTCACATTTATTCAACACACCCTAAGGCATGCTGGGGCAATCTATAACAAATGCATGACGTAAAAGTCATAGGTTTGCAGTGAACTTTAAATTACTCCTAAGTGATTCAGTGACTGGTCCTATTTTATCGCAACCTCCACATATTTCATCCAAACGCTACGAAAACATAGGCAACGTTTTGGTCATAAGTTCATCGTAAACTAATGACCAACCTACAGCTTTAAAATGTGCTCGCGCACGTTGCAAAACTTTTCCTTTCATCCATGACTTCTAGAAAATATCGGGGCCCAAACAATCCATCAAGGGTACTGATCACTTCATGTGTTCATCTGCCTATGTCGTCCATTGCATAACTTGCACTTATTGCTAAAAGATGAACATTGCTGAAGCAGGAAGACGACCAGATGACCGATTCCGAGAACACATGTTTGTGACATAGAAAGAAATGAAAAAGACGCATCCAAGCCACTGCCTCATTGTCTTTGTAATCGTGACATTCACCGACCTTGCCCTATCTCTGTCACTGTCACTGCCACTATCGTCGTCGCTGTTTCTGTGACTGACTTTCATTATGGCTGTTTCTCTCTTTGTCTCTTTCACTGTTACCATCAGTGTCACTGAACTAAAATTTCGGGCAACATGACTCAGGTTTTGGGCGACATGACTTCGGGCGAGATGACTCTGGGGCAACTTGACTGGTTACCACTGGCACTGTCAGTCGTTTTTTGTTGTTGTTGTTGTTGCTGTTTTGTTTGGTTTTTTTTTTACCCTTAGTATCTCTCTTATTGTCAATGTCAGTGTCACCATCTTTGGCACCATCCTTGTCACTGTCACAGCTATTGTCATTGTTTCTGTCACTGTCCTTATAGTTGTCAGTGTCACTACCACTTCATTTTCCTTGTTACTGTTACTACCACTGTCTGTCTCTTTCATTGTCATTGTCACTTTTACTGTCACCATCAGTGTTTGTTACTGTCACTGTCAATGTCACTTTTCATATGACCTTCACTTTCAATGTTATTCTCAATGCCACTCTCAATGTAGCTGTCATTGTTCAAATCACTTTTACTTTCAATGTTGTCATCATGGTCAATCCCCCAGTTTCTGTCTGTCTCTGTTTCCGTTTCTGTCTGTCTGTCTGTCTCGTTCAAAGGCATTTTTTTTTATTCTCACTCTTACTGTCAATGTCTGTCATTGTTAATATCACTGTCACTGTCTCCATCATAGTAATTGTTTCCACCACTATCTGTCACTGTTTTTGTTAGTCACTGTTAACGGATGATCTGCTAATTAAAAATGATTTTCGGCAAGACTTCAAATGAAGCATGTGTTTCATTCTGTTAAACTTAAATATTCTTAGTTTTCACTCATATTTGTCACTCTTTAAACATAAGTTTCTGGCTATTTTCCTTGACTAATGTTGTTAGCAATTTTGCAAAGACTGATAACCAAGGCTTTTAACTATATATAAAAGTTATCAATAAGTTTAGGTAATAACTTTTGAAATTTAGGCAGCAACTTTTTGCATTCTTGGCATTTATTTTTTGCAACTTTAGAACATTCCAGCAAGCAACTTAACAGAATTTTACGTACACAATCAGACAGGCCTAGTCTCCTTCACTGTTTTTATCTGTTGTTGTCACTGTCAGTATTGTCATTTCACTGTCTGTTTTCTATCACTTTTATTAGCATTATTACAGTAGCTATTATTTTCCTCATCATGGTCACTGTCCCTGTCTATGTGAATGTCTCTTTCATTACCACTATCACTTTCACTACTGTCACTTTCAATGTCACTATCACTATCAATGTTTCCATTGCTATCACTGTTTCTTTCACTTTATTTTACAGTGTCACTGTCCCTCTATTGTCCCTCAATTTCAGTCACTGTCCCTTAGGATATTATTTTCACTGTTTCTTTCATTTTTATGGTTACTTTATCTGTTTCCTTCACTGTCACTTCAAATATCTCTTTTAATCTTTTTGTCATTGCACTATCTTTTCTAGTGTCTTTGTCACTCACCGTCATCATCTTTGTCACATTCTAGGTTGTTTTCTTTATCATTGTCATGGTCCTTCCTTTAGTCACACTCTCTGTCACTGTCTCTGTCCTATACTTCATCACTCTTATTGTCTCTCTGATTCTCACTATTATTATCCAGTATATTTTTCTTTCTCTGTTTTGTCATTGTCATGTCACTCTCATTGTCAGTGTCAGTGTAAATTTCATTGTCTGTCCTTGCCTCTGTAACTAGAAATTTTACTCGTATTGTCACTGTCACTGTCTATCTGACTATCCCTATAGCTGTTACTGTTGCTGTCATTGTTGCTGTAAGTTACCTGTCCTTTAGTTAGAAGAGAGCATAATTACTTGATCTGGACATTGTGTTTCAGCTTCAGCAATTAATTTATCATACTGACAAAACATGTTATATTATGAACACCAGGCAAATTGTCTTTTTGTAATTTGATTGTGAACTTTGTTTTACAGAGGTTAGGGAGGGGATATAACATTTTTCACACATGGTCATGTACTACACACAAGCAAAATATCTTTTTTCAGAAAATATAGTTACAAACATTAAATCAAGTTGCATATATAAGAAATTTTATTAGTTTCCTTTCTGGAGACTTGAATAGGTATATATATTTTCATAAATAAGTCATTCCTTTTGATGGCAAAAGCTCCTCAGAGCCTTTGCATACATTATGTTCCATTATCACTTTGTACATACAACTTCCTGTTCTTGTTATCTACCACTCTCTAGCATAAAAATGGCTGTGAAAAATTATCTAGACACAAAAAAATTCTCTAATTCCTAAACACTTCTACAAAATTAGATTTCCCATAAAACAAACCACTGTCCATTGATGTTTCTTCATGTTGTCTGCAACTTTTCTTTGGTTTTTTTTTTATGTGATTGGTTTAAGAAAGAAGCATACATTCAATCCTAATGGATAATTGGACCAATCAATGGCCATCCTAGTTGATAACTGGCCCAATCAATAGCTATTCTAATCCACGATTGGTCAGGGCATACTAGTTAGAGTTCATCATGGTGTTGGACAGCAAAGTTGTAGAGACTGTTCAAATCTCTGGGCCCACGATACTCTTGTTTCCGAATGCCTCTGCTAAATATGATAAGGGTAGGATACCCCTTGATCTAAGAAAAAATAAAACAAAACTGAGAATAAAGAAGAGGTTAAAACATAGTGATATTACCTCATAAGTGATTTGCAACTCCACTGTTTAAGAAAGGCTGTGGTAAGATTTCTCTAGTAAGTATTTATTTCCTAGTTGGAATGTTAAAAAATTAGCTTACTCCAAAACTATGACAAAGATCAGCTTCTTCTGAGCAGTCAACCTGGGAAAAAAAATCGGCCAATATTAAAAAAGAGAAAATGAAACAAATGGCGGGGTAGTTCAAATGACAAACTTGATGAGAGGGCACCTAAAAATAATACACAGATGTTTGAAGGCCATCCCTATTAAGTTAAAAGCTACAATATGGTAGCTAAACAATACATTCCTGGATAGGATAATTTGATTTTATCAACTGAGTTGATAATGTCAATTGGCCACAGGGGGAGGGACAAAGGGTTAACACTGGAAATGTCACCTTTGAAACTCTTATTGGCCAATTTACAAAATCAACTCAGTTGATAAAACCAAATTATCCTGTTGAACTTCCCACCAATGCAGCACCAAAGTTTCTTTTGAAACTTACCACCTTTATTCATAATTTGATCAGTTCTCAACTCACCTAATGCAAAAATGAAAAAAACCTAAAGGGAAAATTTGGGAATGCATTTCCCTTAACAGATAAAGGTACTCAATCTCTGTGGGTTAAAGTTGAAAAAGATACAGGCAAAACTGTTATAAGTTTTTTCCCACTCCAGTTACTTATCCTCCTGCTTTTTTTATGAGTTTATTTTGATTCTCAAGTCTACTATAACTGGTGAGTCTTTTTTTTCAGGTTCATGACAGTTCATGGAAAGGTTACCACAGAACTGTTAGGTGAGAGTGTGAATTACATTTAACAATAAAAAAGAAACCTTTGCAATTCTAGGTCCAGAAGCACTGTCTGCGCACTTGTTTGCCAACTGATCCCAGATTGGTGCAAGTGTCTGGCAGTGGACACACCTGTGAATACAAGACGAGAGTGAAATACAACCTCAGAAATATGATAATGAATTCTCCCTTTCATTTGGACTACCACCTCAAGCCAATAAGCTATCTAAGTATGTAAAGATCAGGAAAACCCCTTTAATCCTTGAAAAACTCCAAATTTAAATACAATTAGTCTCAATCCAAGTTTGCAAGAGGCTTTGATAATTAGCACACATATTGCATTCCAAACTAACCAGAGAGCACATGCCAAACTCAGAAGGTAGAAAAAAGGAGACCTAATTTCTGATTCTCCTTCATAATCTCCATGACATAAGGGAAGCTCTTGTAGTGAAATAACAGATTACTCAGACAACATACACAAAAAACTGATGCAAAGTGATGGTATTTTGAACTTACCAGGGTACATAAAATTTGACAAAAGTTGTGCCCACACTGACCATGGCATCAAAGTTACTGTCTGTCAGCTGGAATGGCTTAATCTGAAAAGGAGCCATGGGATTATCAGAATTATCTTGGATTTCAATAGCAGCTGTAGTGCAGGCAAGTCAATAGATTTATCTTTCTAAATGATGATGCAATGTTCAACAAGGGTGAGCCCAAGAGCCTGAGGTCCTTGACCTAAATCAGGTTTAAAGCATGAAGATGTCTTGACAGTTTCCCACTTAGTCAGTAACACAGTCTGTTTCTGTATCCAGCCACATGCATACAAGCTACTTGAGGGGAAAGAACGTAGTTATGTTTGATTAGTGGTGGAGAATCACACTTTCAAAGAAAGGGTCTAAACACAACACTGTAATCAAGCCTACAATTAGGGGAACACTGTGAGTATTGATACTTCATCGCTGAGATGATTTGGTTGGAAATGTATTACAAGAGGAATTTAAAAACCGAGGAAGAGTGGTGAACAAAAACAGGCAAAAGACTTGGCTCTTGGTTTCACCACTTTGATTTCAATGCGTTGTCACTAGTTTCTCTCCCATCCAAGTGAGACTGGGAATATAGAAACAACCCTCTAATTGCAATTTAAATTGTTACCATGTCAGCCTCTGCATCATCTGATGGAATCTCCTCAGCAGTCTCACTGTTTTCTGTGATTGCACTACTTAACAAACTGTGTTCAGAGATCTTTAGAGTCAAATAATTCTTCAGATCATCAAGTGAACGTGGTCCTTCATAATGGTCCACCTAAAGCATTTAAAATTCAAATCAGTCCTGTTGATGGTATAGGGAATTATTTACCAGACACAAAAGTACCATAACTTTAACCATAGCTACATGCTATAAAAGGACTGATAACATTCTGACAGAAATGATTCCATCCAGAAGGGAATGTTGCTCTATGGCTGTTCAAAGCCCTTGCCTCCTTTCCCCCATATTTTTTTAGCAGTACCAGTATTATTTTATATTCTCAGAATTATATTTGATTTCACAAATATTGTGAGGTGTGTAGTATAGTTTGCCCAAGCTTTAATAGTGAGATGAGGGAACCTGCCCTCACCTCTGAAATAGATGGTACAGAGACACCAATCCCTGGATAAAGATAACAATGAGACCACCAAATAATATTTTTGTAACCAGATTCTTCACTGAACACAGGGGAATGAATATCTTTGTTACGTTTCCTCATTATTTTCACTAGGAACAGTAAGCAGAATATCACTAACCTCTCTTCCATCTTTAAACAGCTTCAGTGAAGGATATGCATGGATATTGTGTTCAGTGCATGGTTTGCTCTCAGTTGTACAATCAATCTGAACAATATAAATTTCCAAATGTCAATGAGGCAAACACTTATTTGACAAGAAAATAAAAATGTAATGGTCTCCATCTCTCTGAAAAGCAAAAGATAGTGACCTTCAAAAAACAAAAGATGTTGAATTTTCACCTTGGCAATTGTCACATCCACATTGTCTTTATGGTACTCTGCTAGTGCCTTCCAAGTGGGTGCAAGTTTGCGGCAGTGACTACACCTGTGCAACAAAATCCAAAGAGTGAAAGCTACATGACATTGTATGACTGATAACTATGTATTCTTAATAACCGTGATTACCAGTTCATGATTATTAGTCTTTGGAGCATCATTACATTGACCCCAATGTAGAGAGTTTTTGACTTTTAAAAGGTACAGAATTTCCTTACAGTGTTTTTCTCCACCCAGACTTATAGCAATCTGTCAAAATACTGGGGAGGTTCTTACAATGGAATACGGTCTCATCAAAATAGCAGAAAATTTACACTACTATTAACCTCACTGTATTAAAAGAAGACTAGGTAAATTCCTAAGGTTTTTAACTTCTTGGCCTGTAAGATTTGTGTTTTTTAAATTAAAATCTAGTGATACCAACTTCATTCTGACAAGAACTAGCATCAATCCAAACAGTTCTCTGTGACCAAACAATTTCTTCTTTGAATTAATGTAATTATTGCCACTCAGTAACTTCACAATATTTTGCAATAAATTCATGTTAGATGCAGTTCAGTAAGCTAACTTGGACATGTTTCACATAACTAACTAAAACATCTCTGGTGACTCAAACCCACAATTTGAGGCATCAGTTTCATGCTCTTTCACAATGAGAGGCGACCTGTCAAGTTTCTTTATGCAATTCATTCACTTATTTAGCTGTGTCCCAGTTCAGCTAAAAGCTGGTTCAAATGGGGGCCTGACCACAACACTAGGAGCTGTGTTCCCTACTCTTTACAAGAAGGGAGTGGGTTCTTTGACATACTGTGCTAACCAGTGCAAAGGAGATGCAGGAGATGGGAACGATAGTCTATCATCCTTATCCAAGAAAACTATAATGTCTGACCATTTGTGGATGTTATAGCAAAGGCAGGACATCCCCCTCAGTTAATTTAAGACCCTTAATGTTAGTCCAGTTTGGGGCTTGAACCCTTGACCTTCAGCATAGGAATACAATGAGCTAGCATGAAGATCAGCAGGAAAATCCTTGAACATCATGTTAATACCATGAAAATTATATTTTTTCACTTACCATGGGGCATAGAATTTCACAAAATGCAGTCCCATTTCCACATGTCTATCAAAATTATCTGACGTCAGTGTGTACAAACCATTATCTGATTCACCTGTAGCCTCTGAATTTTCCTTTTCTTTTTGCTAAAAGAAACCAAGATTTTAAAGGTCTTATAGTACTGATTTATTTCAAGCTTTTCAGTATCAACATGCAAGGAAGGTGTATAGAGGCTTCCTGACAGGTGCAGCCATCGTGACTCCATGACAAAGGTCTTTTAGGTTTGGTATTTGGTCACTCTCAAGTGCAACACTTGAAATTGCCTCTTAACCCACCAAATTCTCAGCATAAGTGTGGGTAAACTGCCAAGGGTTACTAAAAGTTTTAAAAGCCATTTAACATGTTTCTTTCAATATATGATCCATTAACAGAAAAAACTGTTAATCTAGAACAACAAATAATACATTTCATGTCCTTGACAATGGCCTTCTGTGTAAATCAAGCATTACAAATCAAAAATAAAACAAGGTCTCTCAGATATGCCAAGAAAAACAAACTGTTCACTCTAAATTTATGAGCACTTATTTATATAATTGTTCTCACATGAGGCATTTAATAGGGAACAGTGCTTAATCAAGGGTCACAGGCACTTAATTTAGTAAAGATGATAGTATTTCATTTGTTTTATTCCTATATAGCTGGCAGCCCAAAAGGGCTCAAAGATTGGACAGATACATCTTGATTTTTAAGGGTATGGGTATATACTACTTAGCCTTTGTCAGATTGTTTGGATTCAATAAATCTAAAGAGAGAATTATGAAAAGCTGACCCAACCAATTTTCATCAGAATCTGCTGCGTAGATTTCCTATCTCCACATCATTCATATTCAAGGTTGCTCTGCCTTTCTTTTCAATGAACACACATCAATCCTTCAGTTACGTGGCTGCCTCTGGTGTTGTGTCTTACCTCTGATGTAACAGCAAACTTATCAACAAAGGCTTTTAGTTCACCCATTCTCCTTTTTCCATTGTATCTCTTTATTTCACCATGATCATAATAAAGTTTTAACCTTAAATTAAGAAAAGAAACAGAACATATTCTATTACATTACTAGTAAAAGCTAACAGATGTTTACTGACAAAAGGTAAAAGATTTGGCCTTACGTAGGATATGCACGGATATTCTGCTTTGCACATAGTGGAGTCTCTTTTGTACAATCAACCTAATGAAACAATAACAAAAAACAAACAAATAGCTGCACATTTGCCTCAGCTTTTATAATAGTTATCATCAAAATAATTGGTGTACCACAAGCTGTTAATATTACTGATATTGTCATCATCATGCACTTATATCCTTTTCCTTACTGACCACATGATTGACACGCATGATTTGAGACAAATCCAAATATTCATTGACAGAAGTTACATGTGCCATAAAACATCTAGCCAACAAGTCTTACTCCACCCTTGAGCTTGTTTTAAATCTATATTTCTCCATAAAAATATAGGGAAATAAATAAGAAGAAAAAAACTAGTCAACTGATAAATAAAAAGTAGTTGTCCTTATTTTTTCTCACCTTAGCTATTGTTACATGTTCACTGTGTGGGATTTTATTGTAGTGATTAGCTAGCTGATTCCAGATTGGCATGAAACTTGCACAGTATTCACACCTAATTATTAACAATTGAAAACAGTATAAGACTTAGAACCATATCAAATGGAACTAATATCAGACCTTAGATAATCCTTATCAGATATTCTGTAAAACTAAGTAAAATTTTTGTTATAAGACATAGATACTGGTAGTGAGCACGTCTGTGTCCGAAAACCCGTTTTGAGTGGACACTTCAAGAGTACTCAGGATGTAGCTCCCTGGCCGAAGAATTGCGGTGGGTTAAATTTCTACAGGAAGAGAAGCATGTTTTCGAGGAAAGTTATCTCAATTTCACGACGAACCAGAATGTTGCTACGTTGTACTACTCGAACACTGAACAATCTTACAATGTTCTGTGTGTTTAATACTTTGCTCCAGACTATGTCAAAATTATGATGCAGTTAAACGACTAGCTGACCTGTGTTGCGAGCAGTTGTGTAGGAGACGATCAACGAAGATTGCATCAAAGTTAATCTTTAGAAAATAAATACCTGTACAGTGATGAGCTTAACATAGGTGAAACAGCCGGAAGTTTTATTGGTGAATGTTTACAGAAATTTTACGACTTACCAAGGGCCGTAAAACATCACAAAATGTGTAGACGATCCAAAAACTTTGTCTTCAAAATCTACATCTGTTAGTGAAAGTACCTTATCGGCTAATCTTGGTGAAATAACGGAAAAAAAGACCAAAGCAAATGCTTGTAATACGGCCATGATTTACGTAAAGACACGTTTTGTTTTGGTGGGAAACCGCAGAATATAGGGTCGTTTACATCGCAGTCGAATCCAGCGATAGTAGGAATGATTGGCTCCTTCGATGTCAAACAGAAGAAGCGAAACTTCGTGTTACATTTCGGGACTTATGGGGAGAGGAAAAAGAAGCGAAATTTGTCATCATTTATTGGTATAAAGTGCGTAAATAATATTTCATTGCAAATGAAATATGCAAAAACACTAAAAATGGCCTCCTCAGAAACAACAGTTTTAAAATCTCGACCACAACGCTGGTCATCTCCAAGAGAGATAGGAGAAGTTTTCACCAACGCTCTCTTACAACTCGCACCTTCTGCCACACTGGTGTCTTGATATGTAAGGAGAACAAAAATGGCGGACTGAAATGGTAAGAACTAGCCCGGCGGACATTGATCGGCGCAACAGAAAACCTGATGCAGTTAACAGACCTCCTTAACTCAGTTATTAAAACTACTAACATGGCCCACCCGGAAAGATGGGATTCTAAAACAGCGGTAGACATATTTAGCTTACGCTCTCAATTGTGTACTTTCTTAATTTTGTTAATTTCATGGTAGTGAATATTTATCGATGGCACCTCTTGACTCAAAGGGTATATTTCTATACTGCATATCGATGAGGTCACATTTCAGTTTGCTATCTTGCACCAGCCGTCGTCGTCGTAATAGCAGGAATTCCAATAACAAATCAAAGCGACTAATCAAAGCGATAATTTCGTTACACACATTCCTAAATCAACTGATTTGTTTAGGAAGGGGAATTCATTAACCTAAATCTACTTTTTCTTTCTTGGTGCACAACACTTGGCAATACAATATGACAGCGATTTCTCGCATAGATTAATCTAATTCATTCCTATCACGGAAAGAGCTTGACAATGAAGAGGATGCTCGCAAACAAAAGTCGTCCTGGTTATAAATGTTTTCTTATAAAATTCAAGACTTCCTCATTGTCACTAAATCGGATGGAACTGAAAGTTAGTTCCTGAGAGGAAGGTCAACAAGACACATCATCGCTACAGACATACAGAATCAATTGGAACGCCACACAATTCCTTAAAAACCATCAACTTTAATAAAACAAGTTTAGAATATAATATTAAGCAATAAAACAATTCGTTTCAGTTTCTTGTTCAAACACAACTTCAATAACAAGTACGGATCTTTAACACGAAAATATTTTAATGTTGTAAAGATTTATTCCTCGATGTTTCGGCGTCCTTTATACGCCTTTATCAATGTTAGACAAAAATCAAAAAAGGCAACTGTAAAAGTAGGCATAAGTTTTTTCTGTTTTGAATCTTTTTAAACACACTGAATGATAGCCTGACATACATATAAGCTTCGTGATGACACCGAAACTTCTTGGTTTAAATTACCCTTCAACAATTTTGGAAAATATTCTTGAAATGTTAATTTTTGTAGAATATGATATTTCTACTAAATAAAAATACGCCCTGGAAATTACAACAGTAACAATATCAATAAAATAACTACTTAAAGTTCGGAAACCCACGCACTGAAGCAGAAAAATCGCTTAAACTTTGCCTAAATAAGTAATGACCTGAACTTTCTACATTCTGTTATCCAAAGCACGTTTTTATTTTAGTAAATTCAACAAAAACTAACAATAACTTGTTCCTCGTTGATCATCATCTGGCCTTGTTGGAAATCAACGCTACCTATTTACCAACCTTTCTACCAACCTTTAACTAAATAGCTCCCTCCTTGCCTCCATCATTAATAAAGATTGCCACACAGTTTCAACAAATCTAATGAACAATTCAGTTAAGAAATTTGATGTATCCTTTCTGAGCTTAGTAAATAACACTTGACCGTTAATTCACATAAACATTTCGCCATAATATTACTTTTTAAATTATGAGAAGGCTTTGACGAAATTCTTTCTTATCTCTCCCAATCTCAGCCACAGCGAGACCTTTTCCAGTCAGGAATTGTTGTTCTTGTCAATCTTTGTACCAAGCTTGGGCACTTTTTCCTCTAAAGTTCCCTTCCTTGATGACTTTTCCTTAAATGGCCCCTTCAACTTGTCAGTAAGACCTCTTTTCCAGACTTCACGAGTTGTTCTACCAATACTATGATTTTCCTGACGTTTAGAGGGCTGCTGTAGCGATGAAAAACTTTCTCTACATCGAGCAGAGTCCCGCTTAGAAAATCGCACTCTCCTGTGATTCTTCCTTGTTTTCAAACGCTGACCTGTATCGTTGACACAGCTTATATCACCATCTTCCAGTTTAAAAGAATTGTTATTATTCTCACAGATGGAAGACTGTTCATTCACTGTAAGACAAGTTACTGAAAGTTGCTCAGTTCCTGGAAAAAGATCGTCATGCGATGAGGTTGAAAAAGACGAAGATTGGGTACTTTTCCATCTCCGAGAACATTTTCCTTTGATCCGCTGCGGTTTTGGGGATGGACCACTATCTTTAATATTTCCATTCTTCAGTTCTTTCACAACAGTTTGAGTATAGCTACAACATTCTTTTGACAAATTGTCCCAATCACTTGGAGATCCACTTGCTTCTTTTGAAAATTCGTCTTTGAAATCGTTGCTTGATAAATCGAGACAAACGCCCTCCACACTACTTCCATCCGGTGACAGTCGCCTTCCCATTCCCATCACACTCTCTTCATGGGACAAAATTGTAACTTGTTTATGCACGAGGTCCTCTTGACTTTCACAGCATTGGTGGCTTGAGCTGATGTCACTACCAGATACCTTCATGTGGCAAAGTTTTGCTAACGTAACTACTTGGCTCTCATGTTTGTGTCCAGACAGTGGGTTGTTTTCTTTGAAATCTTCTTTAGGTTCTTTCTGAGTGTCCTTGTATGCTACCGTCGTTGTATAGCCGAAGTCGTTATCTGCCTTAGCAAGGAAAGATTTTAAATTATCATCTGTCTGATTTACTGGCGAAGTCATCATTCCCTCAAATGAACTATCGACTGAAGACGTATCTGAACTGGAATCCACCAAACTACCTTGCGAGCCGCACGAATCCATCGAGTCACTGACGACAGAACCACCTTGGGAGAGTGCAGTTGCTGAATGAGTAAAGACCAGTTGGCCACTGGCATCAACAGGTGGACCAGCTGCCTGTTGTGCTTGCTCATAAAGATTTACACCGGAAAAGCAAGGAAAGGCCGTGGCAGCTTGAAAAACTGGAAATAACTGTGGCTGAAGTTGGGCATGAGGCACAGATGGAAGGCCTAAGCTTGGTGGGACTAAGTTAGAGAACATCATTTGATTTCTGTACTGGAACGGTGGCATAAAGACCTGTTGAGGATGCGGTGGTTGCATGAGGTGAGATGCCATCACAGGTTGAACAGGAGTGGAGAAAGTGAAAGACGGGTAGCATGGTTTCAACAGAGGTAACGCGGGGTACCCTTGGTAGAAAGTTCTATGTGGATTACCCTGCAGTGGCGGGAATGATGCTTGACTGTAATACAAACAGGGACCTGAAGGCTGTTGAGTTATCACTTCTCTTGCATTCCCTGCCAAAGGCAGCTGATTTGATTGCTGGTGAACTGTGTCAGGGGTATATCTCCGCTCCTCACCGAGGGGCGGTTGACGTGAAAATGCACGGTCGTCTACGGATTGGTCATCACTGGCACTGCTGCTCTCTGATGACAATTCAGCAAGGAAATCACCACGTGCCTGAATTGTACTCTCAGTGCTTGTAAGATCAGATGCAAAACCCTGATTCATACCACAGCTTCCAAGGGAAGGGTTTTCTATCGGACTGGACGGTGGTAAAGCAGAGTTGGGTAAATGAGCACATGAAATTTCTTCCCATGAAGAAATCAAACCATTGGTTCTTTCTACCGTTGAGCCGTTAAGACGTGGGGGTTTGTTTGCCGAGCACGCTTCATGCATGAAGTAACTATTCGTATCAAAGATACATTTAGAGTTGCCTTGATCAGTTTCCTTCAAGGCCTGAAAACCACTACTTGATAGGTTAACAAGAGGAACGAAATAGTTGGTACTTGTCCTTACTTCATGTAAATAATTGCTAACATTTTCTTTCTCTTCTTCACATGTTATTTGATCATGTACCAGGGCATTTCCAGGAGACTGCTCAAAGTCCAAAGATGATGGGTGTGCATGACACGTGTCTCCGTCAGACCGAACAGCAGATGCCACAAAACTAGATTTCAGGGTACTTTCTTCACACGATTCAAACTGCACCTCAATGGCACCACTAAGATTTGATTCGTTGACTTCAGGTTGCTCTTCGAAGCATGTTTCATGAGAACTTTCAGGTGATTTTGGAAGAGACCGATCATGCTCTGAGGGAAAATTCAGCACAACAGGTTTCACCGAATTACCTGGAGGTAGATCGCAATTCTGCTGTGAAGACTTCGTTATCTTGTTAGGATCGAAATTATCTCCTTCAGTCAGGTCTTCAAAGTGTGTTTCAAATGTTCCTTGCACAGCATGGACTGAAGGTACATTGTCAAAGACTGGACTTTCTTGTGTCGAACTAAGTTCCTTGCTCTTCCCTAGAGTATGTGCTTCAGGTTCATTTACACCAGTTACATTAGAATCACAATCTTTGCCATCGCACTCAACAGGAACGAGAATAGCAATGTCTCCTATAAGAACACTAGCGAACTTATGCTCCAGGTTTGTTGTGGACGAAGCGCCAGAAATTTCCGTAAGCTGTAACTTTGCTACTGAACATTCAGTTGGGGAGCAACATCCATCAAAAGCTTGCTCCTTCAGCTCACTCTCTGGTTTACCTTTATCAGAAGACGAACAGGGAGCGGATGGTTTGTTTTTTGTAATGTAGTTGTCATTTACAGAAGGATTTATTAGCTTGGACTGCCTCGGTTTGACTAGATCTCTTCTGTTGTCTTTTCCTGAAAAGGCGACTTCCTTGGAAAGCATGCCGTCTGGTTTCTTTTTTCTGAAAGATTTCCTCCCTTTGACAGTCTTTTCATCTCTTTGCTTTGGTGCATGAGGTGCTGAGTCAGTAGAACCCTTTCTAGCTTCAGCTCCGGAGGTTTTTCCCCGTGAACTCTTATTACCGACTTCAACATTTTGCATCTCAGACAGGGAATGTTCTCCTTCAGATTTGTGCGAGGAATGAGTTCTTTCAGACTTTACTTTTCCTATTGGAGATTCAACGCCTATTTCATTCTTCTCTGAATGAGTGTACGATAAGTCATCAAGAACCAGGCTCAGAGGAGCAGGAGTAGTACACTTCAGGGTGAAGCTACTTCGAGGTGCAGCTTTTACTAAGTCTCTCTCCCAGTCCTCAGTACCATTCTCTCTTTCAGATAACTTGCCATCTTCTAAGCTGTTCACACTTACCATGTTTGGTTGTGGTTTTCTTTCAGCATGGTGACTTTCTGAACTCGCTTTGTTTGGTTTCTCTTCGTGCAACCTTGGGTACGCTGTTAAACCATGATTTTGAAGCCCTAGTCCACCGAAATGTAACGCTATAACCTTTGACACTTTCCTTTCAATACCATAGGTTTTCATGACTTCATAAAAATCCATAAAAGAACAGCAATCTTCAAAGATTCTTTTGAGAGTGTTGTACGTAATTCCCTCCTTTAAGAGTTTCTTTATAGACATATTCTTACTGCATGCATCCAGCTTACACAGTTTATCTAAATTGGTGAGAAAAAGAGATGGTTTACTAATCAGTTCTATAACTGCACGATAAATACAGTTTAAAAACCTGTACGCAACGAAAACAAAGCTAGTGTACTCAGTATCACCAGATGTTAGATCACCACCCTCAGATGTCCATGTACATCTATTATATTTTTCATAGTTCAGAGTGCCCTCTACGCCTCCTACTCCCAAATCCAAACATCTGAATCCATACCACTCACTAAGTAACGCATACCCATCTGACCAACCTTCTAAAATGGCTTGTTGCTGTTTTTTTCCACACTGAGAGATGTAATACTCCAATCTACAAACATAAATTTTAGTTCATGATAAATATTAAATACATTTCCATAATATCTCCTTTGTTATTGAAATAAAAATAATGGACTTGCTCCATTTCAAAACCAGAATTGCCAAGGACTTATATATGTAACTACTTTGGAGAAGATGCACGTTCTAGAATCCACATTATTTTTGTTGCCTCCATTCCACAGTACATGAATATTTTAAAATTTACTGATAACTGAGTATTGAGACTCAACCCATAATCAAATTGTTTGAAAATTGTGTTCAAATGAGCTTGAAACTCAATAGTGAAAGCTGCTTTCTCCAATAAAAAGGTACCTAAAATAAATTCACCACAGGTCAAACTACACGCAAGTTGACTTTACCCAGGAGAAGGGACAAAACCAACCTCAATCAAATCTAAGAGTACATGGCTTTTGAAGTTAGTAGAAAATGACACTAGCTTTACTTTCCCTTCATACAATCTGGCTTCTTCTCTTTGGACAGCACAATTCTTACTTCAATATGAAAGTTGTACTCATTCTGATTCCCTTCAGACATTCCCAAGCAACAGTTTATGATGGAACAAACCTTTCTTTGGTAGATGAATACTTCAAGAGGCGAAGTAGTTTGCGGAGTGGTGTCTGTGTGAAGATCTTAACCATTCCATCTACATCACCCATGGCTCTGTGTCTGTCTGAAAAGCCAAAATGGAACTTTGCAAAAAGACATTTTCTAGTAATGGTTTAACACTAAAGTTTACGAGAGTACCACTGCAACTTAATTTTCCAAAATTGATTGTAGAGATTCTGAGTTAACCAAAGCTAAAAAGTCAGAGGAAAGTGCATTAACACACAGATAGAGTAAGGGATTTGATTGGATGGTTAACAACACAAAATTAGGGAAAATGAATGTCGTGCAAATAAATAATCTAAGAGACAAATTATATTTCTTCTCGCACTAGTTCCAACTGTTTTGTTCCATGAATTATGTTTCAAAATGATAGTTTGGGTACTGCACAGGAGAGGCCAACAAAACTATGTTACATGGGGAACCAGACAGCAAGAAACCAACATCAACCAAATGTTTCAAATCAGTCCACAGTTTGTTGAGGAGAGAATGCCAAATAGTAAAATTTGAGTAACAATGCTAGGTTGAAACACATCAGCAGTCCATATAAAGGCAAACCTAGTTGGTCATGTTCTGAATTCATGAATTGTTCAAAAATACCTCTAAGAATACTGCACATGTATACATCACACCTCCTTTGACAGTATTTACCTTTAAAAATTTTCTTTGGAAAGAATTTTCTATACAGCGCCTCAAGGGACAGTCTTGTGTTGGCCAACAACTTCTCCCCATTGTCTTTCAACTAAACAAAAGGAGAGTTCAAAGAGATGTAATCAACATTTCCTTCACATCGTTTTAAAGCAGTTTTGAAGGTTTTGATTCATTTTTATGCATGACTTTCAATATGCTCATGACAACATTTTCATGAAAAATACATGCAGATAAATAAAAAGATAAATTAAAACGAGCTTTTACATATCTGCAAGCAAAGTGTTAGATTGTCTCTTGTGAACATATAAAATATAAAACAGATGTTGTGCATGCCAAGGTATTGAAATGGGTAGGGAAGGAGGCTCTTTCCTCTCAAAAGGTACATCATATGATTATTTGATCATTTGTCCTTCTTCTACATTAATACTAACAGTTAAACAAATTTCAATGATATTGAGATAGAGAAAGATGTTTTTTGTCTTTTCACAAGAGTAGGACAAAGAAAAATTCTAGGTCCCCATGAGGAATTGAATCTCAGACCTTCAGATTGCATGATCCAATGCTCTATCACTGAGCCTCAGAGACTCCACAGTGAGTGAAGTCTATTACAAAGTTCAGATGAAACAAAATTTACCATCTCTCTTGTTCTATTCACATGCAATGATATCATTGGGTAAATATGTTAAGTTATTGCGACTCATAACAATTTATAGGTACCTGCAGTTTCAGGTTAGAAAAAGATGGAACAATTTCCCAGGTGTTACTTTAAGGTTTCCAACATTCACATCCATTAATTTTACAAAGTATTCCTCATCAAAATCAATACACCCACAGGTACTTACAGTTAAACCAAAACAATAGGTTCAATAAAAATTTAAAGCGCAAATTATGTGTACATTTTGTTTCATTTCTATCCTCTGTTCAAATTTTACTTTCCTTTGTTTTGGCATGTGGCACTGCATGACAAAGAGTCTAAAATCAAAGAAAATTAAAATTTGAACCACAACATAAGTGCATCACCTACACAAGCATAACTGTTTTAACTAACTGATTCAGTGCAAGTTCACACAAGATTTGCAACCAAACCCTGCACCAACCTCATGACAGAAAACCAAAGTATCTGCAAAATGAACATTGTGCTGGGTCAAAATTGAGTGATGTAATCCACACCTCTCCATGTTGTTCAGTAAAATCAAGAAGTCAAATTGATAGCCATGGTGTGCACACAACACTGAAAAACAAGAATAGAAATAGTGTTAGTAATCAGTTGTAAGGAAACATCTACTTGATATTTTAATTGCTGGGTATTTTTACTTTTCTATGCTACTGCATTTGTTGGGTTACATGATACTTGCAGTACCTGGACACCACTGGTAAATTTCTCTTTATGAGAACCCCTGAGAAAAATACATTTAAATTTAATCACACAGGGAACACTACCATGTTTGATTTCTAGCCCAAGAACCGCTATATCAAGTACTTTACCTGGAAAAAAATGCTTCCCATGTTTCTTTTTGGCTAATTTCACCATGTCATCTATCCAGGAAAGAAATTTAAGAAAAATCTCCCTGAAGAATGGCTTGTTGCTTAGATCCTCCTGTGACAGACCACAATCTCTGGCAGCTAGACATGATGTGAGTACACAATAGGAAATAAAAGTTGTTTAGACTATTAAATAAAAAGACTACAGTAACATCAAAAAAATATTTTTCTCTACCTCTTGACATTCTCCTCCCCTATCACAACCTAACTATAAGTTGTCAGTAAATGAGAATGGAGTCTCTGTATGGATAAAATGAACATAACACATCATGGAAAGTCTGTCTGTATGGTATTTCCCCTCCTGTTGGTTTGTATCAGAAATCTTACTTCTTTACTGCCTCACTCATTAATTATTAATACTATCAATTTGTGTATGTTATTGTACCATACAGACAGACCTCCTTGAAGTATTCTATGTATATTGTAAGTGTATACCCCATAGGTAAATATTAGTAGCATATACCCCACAAGTGAATAGTGTATTTTCACATGTACTGATAGGCTAGTTAGGAAGTCAATAGTAAGTGCTATTCACCTCTGAGGACCTGGTAAGACAAAATTGCCAATCAAGAGTTTAATGTTCGACCATTTGTAGCTAAAGTTCTCAAAACACAGGTGGTGAATTTGCCCTTTAATTCCCATGAATGACCAAAACAGAATTTATCCTCACAATATCAATACAATATCAAGAAGACAAGTGATGAAAAAAGAAAAATATCAATTAGGGTTTAATAGTTGATTCAATATCAAATTCTCCAAACCATCATTATGAGAACTGTTTGCCATGCTGTAAGGAGAATTACCAAAGAGATCTTAGGAATGAAAAAGTAAAAAGCTTAAATATTGTGTTTGTTATCATCAATATTGAACTCTTTGAGATAACCACCAATAAAACTAAATTTGGAATTACCAGGCTTCTGTACATTTCTTCCTGTCATTCGGCAGAAAAGAAATAACCTATACTCTCCTGTTTTAAAATTTAGGATGAAGAAGCTCAAAATTTTTATCTGTAGTATTAAGAAGTGCGACAACACCTTGAGAAAAAAGGAAATAATAGGTCATTTCCCTCCAAATCAATTAGTTAACTAAATCACAGTTCGTTTACTAACAATTATTATATTCGCAATGCACTCGAGCTCTTCCATGGGATTAAAAAGCGAAAAAAGATTCGTTGCACCCACAGCAAATTTAAAAATCATATCATCGCCTTCTTACTTTAAAATAAATATACCACTCGAGAAGAAGGTAAAGACCATGAGAAAAGGAGCCGGTGTCGAAAACAGGATTGAGACTAGTTCAGAAATACATGACGAAGCCTGTGTTTATGGCGTTGGCAATTAACATACCGGAAATACCAACACACATTGTAAAAGCCTGAACGAGTCGAGACAGTTTCTAAAGGAGCATTTTCGTGAGAGGGAGTCTTAATTGTCTTCAAATTCGCTAAATGTGAAATTTTTAGATCGAGAGAAAATTAGGAAATCATTTGAATTCCGTCGAATCACCAGACATGCGCTTCTTCGCACGCGCTGTTATTCTTGGCAAATTGTTAGACGCTGTTCAGATGTTGAAGGTTTTCTTTCCCATTTCTATGAATCTTTGGCTCTTTTCCAGTCCGTGCAAAAACTTTACAGAAAAAAATTTCTTCACACATAGCTTTTTCTTTGAAATGCAGCGGCGTCACAAAGGGCACAAAGTTGCTGACGGTGTAGATTTATCGTGTCGATGTTATGCAAGAAGCGCATAAACAACGTTCACTTACCGAAGGCACACAGCGGTTGTTTGGTGTTTATCAGCGACTGAAAAGAACCTTTCACAACATCAGGATGGCACTTTGCAGCTATTTCAATGATATCGCCACAGTAAACATTTCCATTAGCGGCTTCACTATCATAAAATATCATCAACGGTTGAACTTTCGCGTCTTCTTTCTCCTTAGCTGCCATGTTCCTTTTTCCCGGGCTTGTAGTAATCAGCCTCGTCTCCAGGGTGACATAGTCATCCCAGGCTCACTCGTACGCGGCATTTCAAGATGGCTTCCAACCCAACAACAACCAAGGTAATTCTTTAGTTATGTAATTTTTTAATAAATCAGATGTGTTTTATTATCTGGTTTGCTGCTGAACCAAAAGGTACTTATTCTTTTTTCTACAATAGATGGGAAAGTTTGTTCGTTGTTGCTACAATCAATTTAAATTTTTATGAAATTTCACTTCCGCCGAGACTATTCTTAGCTATATAGCGTAAAATTGTTATATGATTGAAAATTTGAACTGCATGATTGTATGGTAGGTTCACGATATCTAGAATCCCAAGTGAAAATTAACAATTTGAATACCTACCCAGGGGCAGACTAAATAGGATTTTTTTTAAAAAATGTTTCACAATTTTGGTAACTTTGGTACTTAAACATTCTTTTCTTCAAGAAACAACGACAAAATAATGGATAAAAAATTTGTATCGGGGGAATGATGTCCTGAGTATCGTAGTCTCGTATATCAGGATGTATATATGTGTTTTTAACTTTCATTGGTTAAAACTTGAGGGGTATTTTAGATAATAAAATTGAAAGTAACGTTCTATTTAATTTCTTGTGAAAACAGTACGTTGCATAGTACTGCAGAGCTCTGCCAAAGACTGAGATTTTCGACACTGCATAGCCATCGATTGTGACACTGCAGGCATTGCCTATCTGGGGGGGGGGGGAGGGGAGGGAGAGTGGACAACCAGGTATGGGAGCATATTCCCTCAAGAAAGTATGAAAAAATGAAGTACTTAGCACATGTTGTCATTTATACTGAGTTTTTTTGGAAAGAGAAATCTCAGGGTGGTAGGTCTTGTATGATTCTTCAGCACTTTTGCACGCACTCTCTCCACCATCATTTATATTATTTTAATTACTATCATATTTTTAATGTAGTTTTTTATCAAATTGAACTGTTTGGAGATATCAGTTACAAGGGTTATCCTTTTAAATCTTGTAACATCTTGTTTGTGGCAATGATTGCCATAAACTTGTAAGCAAGAAGTCAAGGTATACTGTGGTGCCTTGAATTTTGCCCCAGATTCTTCCACTGCTCCATTATTTATTACCACAAAATGCATTGGTAAGTGTTATCTTTGTAGATGGAGTTTGCTGTGCAGATTACCTGTAAGAATTGTGTAGATGCAATTTGCAATTCACTCCATGGTGTTGAAGGTGTGTAAGTTTGTGGAAAAATTGGGGTCTTTTTTATTGTTTTGTTGATTTTTTTAAAATCATTCTAGGTTGTGAATAGAAGGGTTTATTTTGTTTTCTTATTTTGAGATATTGACTGATACATGCAGGTGGCTTCAGTTGTAGTCACTGTGTTCTGGTATAAGACCCTTCACACCTTTCATACCATGCCCCACCCAGTAGTTAAAATGTTTACTTGGAAACTTCAAGGAAAACCTGTAACCAAGTTTTGGAACTTTGTTGTGATGAACCAGTACCCAATCCTAAAGAGGGTTATCCTAACAGCTTTTAATCGAACTGTGACTACTTTTGGAAGCAGGAGGCTAATTATCCTATGGGATTATTAATGATATGTAAATTACGGTTGCTATTTTTAATCATGTACTGGTAAAATTGTTCAATATTGAATGTGACTTAACATTGTTTTCAAGTAAAATATTTATATGGATCTTTTAAATACTCTATCATGATAGCTGGATATTCTGACCATTTTTTTTGAATGGTGTTGATATTAAGGACAATCAAAACCCCTGAATATATGATAGAAATGACAGCTTAAATTAATGCATCAGGTGGTTTAACTGATAGAAAATGACTTTTTTAGGTATCACATCATTCACAGTGGATCCAAACTCAGAGCAAGTGACTTTAGAGACAACTCTGTCAACCAGACAAGTCCAGAATCTATTAGAAACCTCAGGACGTACAGCCATCTTACGTGGACTTGGTACAGCAGGCAAGGGCTATATGTACACAACACTGAGCAATAAAAATTATGCAGTTGTGTGATGACTGTAGAGCATGCCATCCCTTGAAGTTCAGCAACATGTACACTGTAGTTGATCCTGTCCTTTCTCTACTGAATTTGAGTTACTGAAAGTCCTCCCACTGAATCAATTGAAAACAACTTCCTTAATGTCATGCCTCAAACTGTCTCTTAGTCACAACTATCTTGCCGTTACACTGTTTATGATCCCTATCATCATCGCCACTACAAGCTTCAAATTCCTGGTCTCCTCTTATAACCACCTACCCCCATTGTCATCATCATCATCATCATCATCATCACCACCCTGTTGAGATGCTCGACTGTGACAGTACTTACATGATTTGAAGTTCAAGACTGAGTTGTCAAACAATTTATTCAACCTTACCATCTCTTTCTTCATGATCATCACTATTTTCCTCATGGACTTTATCCTTCTCATTATCACACTCATTGTTCCCCTTATCCTCATCAAAGCTCATTGCCAGCCTTGTTATTATTGTCCTTCTCTTCTGCACTCATCACCTTCCTATTATATATATTTTTTTCACTATCATCATCATTACTATCCTCACTGTCAGATATTTATGACAAACAGATATCATTTCATTCCACACAGGGAAGGATCTGAAGCATTTAGGAGCTGCTGTTGTGGAGATGCGTAGTGGAATTGTTAAAGGTGTCACCAGATTTGTTCAGGTATCTTAATGCACTTTTGAAAAGGTTCTTTACAGCACATGGCATTGCTGTTAAATGTATTTTTATGAGTTCCAATTTACATGAGAAACTCATTATTTGATGATGGTCCATACAATATCATATTGAAATTATGTCCTACTAGGTGGAAAACCACTAGGGTCAAATTCTTTATCACAAACAGAGAATGTCCATTTGTCCATGCTAAGTCCACAGGGAAAGGAAGAGCTGATAGTTTCATCTGATTACAATTTATGCTGGTAATTTTCTGATTTTTAGGTATCTGAGGATCTGTGTGTGATTGATGGCACAATTGATGGACTTTCTCCTGGACTTCATGGGCTCAATATTCATGAATTAGGAGATCTGTCTCTGGGATGTGCAAGGTTAGTTAAAAGTTATCTGTGACATTTGTGAACTGTACAATTCAGAGTACAGTATTCATGATTTACATGAGTTTTGTCAAAAGAGGAAACTATATAATAAGTGAGCATTGGTAGCTTGATGATTTGAAAGCTGAACTCTTGTTGAAAGGTCCAGGTGTGAGCCCTGGATGTTGTTATTCAAAATTTTTACTCTTATGGTACATCTCTTCACTATGGGGTGCAGACAGGTGACATTAACCATTCACACCCTAACATTTACATCCATATTCTCCATGCTGTTCTCTTTAAATTTCCTAGGGTACTGACAAGGAGACTTTGATTAACAATCAGGAGCCTCAGATCTGAAATTGCTGATCACATTCTTAATTCTTATGGCCTTTATATTTGATTCAAAGGTGATACTGTAAGGAGAAATTAGAAGCCAGTCACTCTTTGGGGTTAAAGGGTAACTAAGTTGTCAGAAAAACCTGACAAAACTGTACAGGGGATAACTTGTGATGGACTACCATTCTGCTGAGGATGTGTGCAAGTACTGCTACAATTTAAGATAACCTGTTTAATTATTCAATTATGATAAAAGATACATCTTTCCCCTTAGTACTGGTGATCATTATAATCCCAGAAACTGTCAACATGGAGCACGAGAGGACAATGTGAGGGTATGTTCATTATTGGCACTAATTTTGAAAAAAATTTCACTCTGTAACCACTTTTAGAAAGTCCATTTTTGCAGTTTGTAGGGTGTGGTAAATGTTATGTGGTGACCACAAGTGCTAAGGTGGCTTAGTTGTTGAGAACCCAGTGGGTGAATGGAAGATGGTACATATGGGACCTGTCACTGGCACATTGTCTTTTGTTCCCAATCAGTAATTTTATCTTATTACTCTTAGTTTGTACAATTTCAAGAAGAAATAAATTAAGCTTAAAGACTTGGCAGCCAACTTAAGTTACAGAGGCTTGATTTCAAGTATTGTAGAATTGATTGTTGGCCCTCCCAAACTCAACCTTTGATACTGATAACCACATATAACTAAGGCCTCTAATTCAGTTAGTCATTCATACTTTTAGTGATGGATGATTAAGTTGGCTGATTTATTTGTATGTTGTATATCGAAGCATGTTGGTGACCTTGGCAACATTTCAGCTGACAAAAATGGCAGAGCCTCTTTCAGAATGGAGGACAAAAATATCAAGGTAAATCCCTTGGACTGTTCTTACATTATGTTTTTATTCTCCATCAGGTAAGAAACTTTTAGACTATGTACAGCTGTGATTTTTTCTTCTTGTCTGATAAATTGTTGATTGTTTCCTATTAGTCTTATTGGTAAGTGTGCATAAGAGTTAAGAGAGTTCTGCTACTAAGCTGTAGGTTCAAATTCCTGTTGCACTTGCAGTCACCTACACATGGAGTTTCTTTCTTTTTCTTCTGTTGTGTTAAAAAAGGAAAAAGGTCCTAAATAACCCTATAAAAAATATAGTAAAACAAAATAACCTTAAAAATGTTGAAATAACCTTAAAAATATAATCGTTAAATACACACAGTGCAAATTACATGAACAATCAAATGCCACTCAACAGAGCAGTGTAGTTGACAATGTGCAATCATCACAAGGACCAAGGTCTGTTTACACTATAGCTTCCTGTAGTGACGTTTTTTGTCAGGTTTCTCAGTTTTTGAGGTGTCCATTAAACATGCACATTCTCAGGTTAAATGAATATGAAATCTTTTTTACCCTCAACACCCTGATATTAATATGCATATTCTCCATACTGTTCTGGGAACATTTCTTAAGGTGCTGACAAGGAGAATTTGTCTAACAATCAAGAGCTTCTCTTAGGTGGTGATCATTTCCTTTTTACTTGTGACCTTAATGTTTGATTGAGGGTGATATTGTAAGGAGAATTAGATGCTAGTCACTCTGAGGGATTAAAGGGTTGATCAGTTATCATCTGGGAGCTGTTATGATAAATCTGCTTGGTTGATATTATTATTACATGCACATATGATTTATATGTGGGAAGTTCAAAAATTTTGAGATTTCAAGGTTTCATATTGACGTCTCTTTGATGTAGATCTTTGTATTACAAATTAGCTTTTAAAACAGAACGACGTTTCGACCTCTCCGAGGTAATTTTCAAGTTCTAGTAAATTGTAAAAATTAGCATGGTTTCAGTCCAAAAAATTATTCAACATTAAGGTTTATCTAGGATTTGGAAACACTAACGTACAAGCAATGTGGCGTTACTTCGAGGTATTATAGCGTAAACGGGGGTTGTTGTTCTACAGTAAGAGCAGTTTAATCATTTATTTTGTCCTTCCCTGCAGGTTTGGGATGTAATCGGTCGCTCACTAGTCGTACATCACGGTGAAGATGACCTTGGGCGTGGCACCAATGAATTGTCGAGGATAACTGGAAATTCCGGCCCTGGGTAAGACTTGTACCGAAAGAGTCTGCAAACTTAAATTCCAGGTTCTTACACTTATTTTATGGTGTTTCCCGGCAGTGACTGAAAAGAACAGGGGCGTTCAGATCTAAGATCTCAAACGAATTCGCATTTTGATCAGCCGCAGACGGTCTCGGTCGGAATGTGAGCGTTCTTTTCTTGGAGTCTTTTTACATCGAAGTTTTACGCTTTCGTTAGTTCCTGTAAGTCCACGTTACAAAAATGATTTTGAAATTCCTCAACTCTTCACATAACATGGTCGTATAAGCTGCCCTCTTTGGCTCATTTTGACAAACAATATCGGGAACTCGTTGTAGTCCCTCTTTCAAGAACCAATTTCTTTATTTAGCGATAGGAAGTTTAAAATCTTATCGTGTAGCAAAGGAAGGGCTTTGAAGTACAGTCCTGTAACTGACGTAATATGTTTGAATGTGGATAACTGAGATACGGTTTTGTTCTTTTGCTGTTTTGGAGGATTCTTTTTCCTTCCCGAGATTGTCCCCCTTGTACGAACCTAACTCCCAACAAAGTCATCTGAGCAAGCCCCTAGAACAACTTGGCGACCACTTATTAAAATGTGTTTCTAAAACAATCTTTTACAGATTATCTTGTGGAATCATCGCCAGATCAGCTGGACTTTTCCAGAACACCAAAAAGTACTGTGCATGTGATGGGAAAATCCTTTGGGAGGACAAGCCATTGTCTGAACCAACAAGCATGCCTTCTCAGCTGTAAATTCTTGTACGGAAACCAGTGGATGTCTTGAAATCAAGAAATCTTCTAGGATATTTCATCTGTTTGGGATCAAGTTCCGTAAAAGCAGGACACAAGCAAACCAATAACATTCGCTTCTGTTTTCGCAATATCAAAAAAAAGGGCAGTTGATTTTATCTCTTGGAGTCACTTAAAAGTTAAATGATATCTTTGACGTCATAACGAAATTTTTTCCTGTCATGAAATCGCCCAAGGAAGGTTCTTAGTAGACAATTGTCTCGATTTTTCATTCTTCATTTAACACTTACCCTTTGGATCATGTCGCATCATGTGACTGAGGAGAAACAAACTGCTTACGTTCTTTCAAATTTCATATTGATAAGGAATCGAATCTCAGTTAGACCCATCCAAGCAAACATTTTAACTGAATTTCGAAACAACTTGTCACGCTTTTAGGGATGGCAAAATAACAAATCAAAACCACAAGAGTTTAAACTATTCAACAGCATTCTTGTTTATATCAGTTGAGCTCCCCAACTTTGGTAGTGTTCTGTGAGCCGTCTAAGTCTTACTTTGACCTTCTTGGAATCTCTGTACAGATAACATTTTACCCGCACGGGTTGCGTGTTGACGTGCCCTTTCCCGTTTCCCAAGGGAATAAAATCCCTACCATGTGATCTTGAAAGACGGTTTTGTGTTATTTAAAGGAAATACAAGAAAATCTGTTACTTGAACCTTGTTCCGGTCATATAAATGAGATTGAAGCGCGTGATCTGCCAAATGCGTTGGTCGTTGTAGAGATTTTCTGTCAAGATGTTCATGTCTTGGTTGCTCGCATTTTTCCTGACTGGAATTGCCCAGTCAAGTTTGCTCGATGTCGATCAGTTGAAAGCACCAGGTAAGCATGCCAGATTATCCGTGATTTTATGAGAAGTGATTACATGGCTATGTAGTATTGAATTAGTCGTAGGAACAAATGAGTGTTCGCCCAGACAGTTAAATGCGCTTTGAGACGAACGAGAAGTATTTGGCTGGCATAGTCTAAATCTTAGCTTCCATTCTCACATAGTCCGTTCATTTTATGTTGTTTTTCGCCAAGGAGAAACCTTTGATACAAGACAAGAAAAATTACAAGCCATTGTAACCTGATATTGCGGATGAAAGGAAGAGAGTGACAGAGTCAGCCCTTCTCTTTTCAAAGGTTAATTTAATCTCAGTCCCCAGTCTCTTCAGCCGGTGATAACTGCCCATTCCCCTGCTTAATGCTCATTAATGGTGGAATGAACTCTTTTTCTGTAGAACCAGATTTTGTCGATGATGGTGATTGTGGATGCACTGAAGAACCGACTGCACAGTGTGGCTGCTGCACAAAATTTGATTTTGACCACAAGGAGCACACAGGTAGGAGTCAATAGACTTTAACTCTGTGAATCGTAAGAGTGACTGGGATCTAAGTTGTTCGAACCATATAACCCTTAATAAAACATTAAGGTCACGAGAATAAAGGAAATTATCACCAACTAAAGAAGTTCTTGGTTGTTAAGCGATTTCTCCCTGTAAGTACCTTAGGAAACTGTGTTGAGAGAACACTATGGAGAATATGCATGTTAATGTTAGCCATGTAAGGGTTAATAAAACAGAAAGAAAGAATGGGATAAACGAAATGTGAGTCTCTTTTAAACCAATTAAGATAAGTATGAAATTGCCTTAATACTGATTTTCGCAGGTCAGTTATGGGTTCGAGTTCAAATTTACATAAAAGTGTTATCATCATCTATCATTAAATTCTCCACCCACCGCTGATCTGCCACAGAATATTTACTGGTGCTTGTCAAGACTTCTGACTGAGAATTTAGTTTTACGTCTGAAAACTTTCATCAGCAATCTTACCGAGGGGATTGAAAAGTTTATTAAAAACACCTGGTAGAGTTCACTCCGAGAGAAGATGACTAGAGGAGATATTTCGTTTAGGATTTCTTACTTGCAGAAAAGTGTGGTCATTGATGAAGTGTGTTTTGTTCTTTTTGTAGCCTGTATGAACATGACATTTCAAGTGGAGGAGAAAGTGAGTCATGATAATCGTTATAGATTCACTCTGTTTGCGAGACAAACCTGTAGAGCTAGTGGAGAAATTAGAAACACTAAATGTCCATTTAAAGAGTTGAAAAAACCCCCAGCTTTTGTGCTAGTAAGATAATTAGAGAAAATTCGCTCGTCCTCTACCAACTTGATCAACAAACTGTAGACAAGCTCGCTCAACTGATTTCAATATTTATCCGAATATTTAGAGTCTCCGTGCTGAGTCAGGCTCGGCATATGTGTTTTTCTCTGGTGATTGACTGAATGTTTATTTCTTAGGCGATACGATTTACGGGGACTTTAGATGACAAGGTTCTGTTCAACGAAACTCTCTCAGGTAAGGTATACATTTTCATGTTCGTCAATCACTAGAATTTGAGTTACTGAGCAAAATAAACCCCTTGCGCTGTGTTTTTGTTAAATTTTCCTTACCTGTTCGCTTGACAATACATTGATACTAAAAAAGGATGCATATTCAAAATTATTCGGTCCTGATGATAAAAGGGTCGACAGTTGTATGGTAACGCCTCCATATTCCTCTGCAAAGAGGGCTTAATAAGAAAGTTAATAGACGTGTGAGTTAACTAGAGGCAAAAGTCACTTCCTAATCCCTGTTTATATATATTTTTCATTTTTTTTTCCAGCGAGAAATCCACCTCCTTTTTGTCAAGGGGTTTGTCCACTGTCGTGCATCTGCCTTCAGTATTACAACATCTCGTACGGTGATGAGGGAAAGTGGGGAGGATGCCTGAAGATATATGCTGATCTCATTGTACCACTCTTTAATCTTGACTTTGGCTGCTTCAATCTGCCAACCCAGGAAGGCCAGGAGCAGTGGAGGGCTTCGGACAAGGAGGGCAACTCGCTGTTACACTTTGCCGGCTCTAATAAGTCAAAGGATCAAATGTTGAACAAGACTCGGCAGTGGCTCCTAAAAATGCTTGGCAAAGACACAACTAAGTCGCCACAAAAGAAAAAAAATCCACTTGATTTCCTTTTCAACAATCGCGTGATTGAAAATTCTGATGAGGACTAGAATTAAAGACTTACCGAACCAAACAAGTAAATGTCTGTGTGATTGACAGAATGATATTGTAATCGGTAATGACATTCTTGGCAGTCTGCTATACTTTACCATTCATTATAAATGTATGTAAAGTGGATTAGAGCAATAATAAAACTGAATAAGGAAGGAAGTGATGTGGCTCTTTGAACGATACAGAAGAAAGGCTCCATATATACACGTTAATTTGTGTTTTCATGATGGCGATGTCACAGCGGCTTAAAGTTAATATCTAAATAAAAGTTGCAACCTTCAAACAGATCGGATTACATTTCAGTCTTCGAGGTAGATAAGCAAATAGAAGATCTGACTGCAATAAAACTATCTTCCTTTCTGTAAAGCCGCCCTTTGAATTGAGCACAGTCTTCACGGTTCCAGTTACTTAACCCTCTTACCCTCACCTTTGCAATAAGGTCTCTCGTGATCGGCACCTGTTTGAACATGTCACACTCGATAGATGTACACGAAGGCATAGGTGTACGAAATTTACACAGATTTAGAATAAAGGCGAAATCATAGAGATAAAAAAAGTAGACAAATAACTCCATCACTTGCCGCCTTGTTGTAAAGTACTTCCTGTACTGATGATTATCATTTGCATGGCATGAAATGAACTGCTCTCTCTTCTTTTGCATCTGGAGGCCTCACTCCTTGCTATTTAGTTTATTGGAGAACTGCCCCCCCCTCCCGTTGACCCACCAAACAGCCGGAAATGACGCACGGAAAGCGAAAGTGACTATTAAATATCTGTGGAAGGTCATTCTTTGTCTGGTTAGCGACATATTATTTTCTTACCTTACTGTTTTGAGAAATCTTCTTAATGTGTTTGCTGAAAGTGAAATTTCCTTTATCCGTGGTCACTGTACTTGTTCCTTTGGTGGCAAGTTTCACACTGAAATCTGTTGGTTAGAGAAACCTTTGTTTTTTTCCCCGTACTTGCCTTGATCATCAACCCTTTCATGACTAACTTCTATTTTGTTTTTGTAGATCCAGTTACAGCGAATAATCCAAATTTTGATGGCTGTGAATGTGTCAGTGGCAATTCGTCGTTCTATTGTTGTCAACCCATCTCTGTCTACCGCTTTAGTGAGTTAGGTAAGAAATTTCAAATGCACTTATTAGAAATTTCAGTAAAGACAAAAAAACAGCACTGATTGCATATACATTTTGAAGGGTCTTCTATCGATCACGCGCTGTCGTGTCTCCAAGGCGCAGCTGTTTCAGTAGAAGAGTAACTTATGACGGGGATTACGTCCATGGGAGATTGCATTCCATTGCTTTTTCACCCATTACACTAGTCTACACAGGTTATGGACTCAAACAGTACTACGAAATTATTAGCTGGGCCTAAAAAAACTCATTCTTATTTTCCCAGTTTGTGTGAACGTGTCAAGCGTGGATACACAGAATGTAAGAAACTCAGTTTTTCACTGCTAACACTGAATTTAATTTCCCTGTATTGCTTAATGAACCTGACACTTTTAGGAATTGAACGTTGAGTTTTGCTCGAATTAGGTTATACCATTCACCTTGTCTGCAGATGGAAAGTCGCGCCTTACTGATACGTACTCAGGTATAGAGTTTCTTATGATGATATTGTTAAGGCTAAATTTGGTAGGAATAGTTTTTTTTATATTTGCAATCCAGTAAACACCCCTTAATTTAAGGTTTTCATTTATGTCGTATGAAAATTTATCGGAACTAGAGAACAGTCAATATGAGGAAAGAGTTCAAACTTCAAAGGACTGACTTGGTACACCAACATGGAAGCTTGTTTAAATGTTTGGTAACTAATGTAGCTGTATCCACGTATGCAAAGCCGATTGCTTCTCAAAGGACATAGGTAGAAATTTCCATTGGGATGATGTGGTCGTAAACCGGCATGTTACTCGGAGGGGTTTAGGTGTGACAGGTTTTGTTTTAATAAATTATCAGGTTATCTCGATCTAGGAACGGTATCACATGTACACAAGTATCTCCCTGATCACCCGAGCCCTTGATTAACTGATTTCTTTCGAACACTTGGCAGAAAAAGCACCTCAGCCATACTGTATTGAGTTTGACAACCCAGGACCAGTTTACACCTGTTTAATTTTCTACAACACAACGTTCACCAGCACACAGGTCAGCGGCTGTCTAAAGCTGAGAGTTTTGGTACAAGCTGAAATCTTTATCCCATTGAGATGTTTCAATCTTTCACGACCTTCTGATGTCAAGCAAGAGGACGATTTTACAACAAACTACATATTTTGAGTACTGAATTTTTTTTAAAAGTGTTTCTGTTTCTGAGTACCCCTTTTTGAATAGCTCTTATGTATGATGACGTCATTTACCATTTGTTCAGAAAGATTGTCTGATTGGTTTATTTTTGAGACTCATATCTTCAAGATTGAAACTCGCAGGAATGAAATGTAGACAGATTTAATCAGTACTGCTGAATGACTTTTATATTCAATAATTCAATATAAAAAAAGGTTACCACCTTTGCATATTCTCCAAGAGCCATACAAAGTAAAGAGAAATTCTGACTCGTGATTCTGATACAACTAAGTATGTACAAATCGCGATAATTTTGCCAAATACATCAATGCATTATTTTTCTTGATTTTTTTGTCTATTCCACATGTAAATGTAAATGCAGGGAAGGGCATGTTACTGACTACCTCATCTGGGTTTCTGGCATCTGAGTCTGAAATCCAGCAGGGACAAGAAAGCTCATAGATACAAATCTTTTTGTAGCAGCTCTTTAATAAACAATTCCATGTAATTCCTTGCACAAAGCTTTTCTAACAATTCTTTATCAAAATCCTTGTGGTCCATGCCAGAATTTTAGAAAATAGCACTGTTGTACTGTCCCAGAACTGTTCAAATGTACAACTTAGTGCAAAATCTGGGTTCTATCAGGTCTACAATCAATTGGTGGGTTTGACATAAATGCCCTCCTAAAAGAAAAAAGAACAGGTCATTACACCAAGCCACTGGACAAGATTACAATCACTTAACAAGCAACATAAAACTAAACCCCAAAAATTAATGACAGGGTAGATTAAAGAAACCTAAAATGTTTACTAGCCATGGACATAATAAGATTAGATAGTTTTGCAGAAAAAGAAATGAATAACACCACAAGTTTAACATGTTTGTTGTTTCCTTGAAATGATAATTTCCTGAACATAAAGTTAGGCAAATAACAGAATGAAGTAAGACACCAGTACTGACCGTTGCCTTCCATTCATTTCCTGTTTCAGGATAACTATAACCACTAATTTCCTTTTGACCACTAATGGGCCGGCCAAACTGGTCTCCAGTTACATGCAGATAACTAAAGAGAGAAAACAAATACAAACAAATAACTAACTGTCTAGGAAGAAAAGTAAAGGAACATGCTTGAATCAGTCTTTGCCCAAAAGCTTAAAAGTTATAACCCTTGAGGTTACTCCAAGTTGCAAATTATTTTCAGTAAAATTAAGGTTACTAACTGGGTATGTAAACTTGCATCCCCCTTCCAAAAAAAAAAATTTTTTAAAATTGAACATTTCCAAATATGCCAGTTCTTGAAGAGAAGGTATTTCCACAAAAGTGACTTAATTTTCACACTGTTATAATCTACATGGGGTGTGAGCTTCCTAATAATCCTTTTGAGGCAGACATCATCTGGGAGGGAGTGATGTGGTTTTCTGAAGGGAAAAAGTTCTCAGTTGAATATCAATGCAAGGTCATGACCAAGAAGGGAAAAAAAGACATGTGAATGTTCAGATGTAAAACAAAAAAACAAAAAAAAACAAAAACACACAATATCTTGACAGAAGTGACAAGGGTTGGTGGTTTTTCCAAACTTCAAAGATCGAGGAAAACCAGGTTTTTTGCCCTTGGTTTAACCAATATTTGACAACAGAAAATATGTTCATAAAGCTAACATGGGAAAAGGTACTTGAAAACTATCCCTTTTCCCAGGGAGCTTCATCTTGCTTACTGTGAACATCAGAGGTTCTGCACTTACACTTTAGTAGCTGAATGCTTGAACCTAATTTTATCCTGTCGTTCCCAAAACTTTGAAGGACAAATAACAGACCAGTTGTCCAAATCATCCCCATCTCCATTTTCACCAAATGCACTCACTTCCTGGTTATGAGAAATTGGTGACTGAAAGTGATGACTGTGAAGATTGCGTTTAGTGGCCAGGTGTTGTAATCTTATTGTGCTGCCACACTTAACAGGAGTCCTGGAAAAATAAAAATGAATATCTTTCATTTCCTCTTAAAAGTACAGATTTAAGACTTTCATTACTTAGACTGTACCAGTATATTTCTGTTGACATGTCACAATAATTAACCAGTCCAAGGGTATATCACCAGATTAAGTCTAGTGAAATCTGTAATTGTTGATAAGTTTAAGAGAATGTTTCTCTTTCTGCTGCTCTTTCCCATCTACCATCCTTTTCTCCCTGCTTTGCATCATGATCTCTAATTATGCCATTACACCACTGTTAACTATAATGACTGAATGCTTAGAGTAGGTTACTTTGGTACTCACCCTCTTTTGCATGGAGAATCCATTTTCCCTCTCACAACCCAGTAGCTGTTTCCGTCATCCGCACTGTCCACTCCTGTAACAGACTAAAAGTAGCAATATTTTGTTTAATCAGCAGAAATTCTTAGTCAAGTGTATACTGTAGAGATGCCGTCTACAATCGTCTGTCTTGTCATACCTACGTGAGGAAAAAAATTAAGAGAAGTGATACTGCAGCAGCATTTAAAAAACCCCATTAATGAGAGATCTAATAGAGCCAGCCCACTAAGAGTGGAAAATTAGGGTTCCATTGAAGGTGATTTTGAACCCCATGTGAAAAAAAGGATAAGTGATTAGGGTGTAGAAAGGCTACATAATTTTTAAAATAGAATGTAATTTCCAACCAAACACTGATACTTTCAAGAACTTTAGACGAACTTATGAAAGGAAATTTGTTATTTTTTCCCTTTAAGACCGTGCAGGACAGCAGGGCTTTTGGTCACAACGAATAGTAGTCTCTACTTCAAAGCTACAAAACTACGTCAAAATTCGATGCTAACCCTTGGTTCGGTGAGTAATTTTTTAAAAAACCCAGTCTTCCGCTTAACATGCGTATTTCAACAGGTTGGAAACCGGAAAACCAAACACAAATCAGAAGCGTCCACGCACAGTGCATCTCATTAAAATTAACGCCTGAAGACAAGAAGTAACGCAAGGCGTCCTCTCCCGCTTTCCAGAGTCCCTTTCCATATAATACACTAAAATAAAAATCGTGACATAAATCTAAGTATGTCTGGGGGAAACTATCCCTTTTCTGTTGGTCCAATTTTTTCGATGAATACCAACAGTAAGCTCATCAATTGTACTTTGTTTTGGGCATTGAAAGCGAACTTGGAAAAAAAACTAGAATTTCTCGATCACAACGACAGGGATGTTACAGCAGCTTGGACACATTTTATTTTGAGTGTACACTATCTGCTGTCTTTCCAAACATTCTGCCATAAAATTAACAGAGGAACATCACAGCAAAACATGCTGAGGATATTTTCAAGAAGGGAGATCATCACATTCGCTCCAACTGACGCAGAACGTACGCTCAATCCTACCTGTTGTCCGCTTCCAGAGCCATACTTAACTTCATGGGAATGGAGTCTAACATTGTGCTTTGGATTGACTAGCTTTAAAACACTCCCACAAGTAATATATTTAAATTCTGGAAGAAAAATCAAACAGCTTCATCATACATTCTGAGTTAAAATGGTTTCAACCTGCTCTGTTTTTTAAATTATTTTGTCTACTTACTTACCTCTAGAATCTCCTTGTGAACGACCGCATAGCAAAGAAGCTATGCTCATCAACAAATAAACGTATTTTACAATATTAGTTCCACTGACTATTCGAAAAAAGTAAAGGAAATTAGGTACTGTCACGGCCATGATGAAATTTCGAAAAGACACGCAAAGGGCATTAAACCTCGCTTTGGCTCGTCAGACTCGTTCTCGTGCACTAAATAGCTATTCCGCGGGTCGGGTGGGATGTTTGTCCGGGATGTATTATGTATTACAGTATCAAGGGATTTTGGTCTAATGGCACTTCACTGATCAAAGTTATCAAAATATTTTACCGTTCAAATTGTGTCGCACCTTTTATCATAATTTTGTCAATAAGGTGATACTTAATGAGCATAAGTGGCATTGATTTGGGGAGTAATGGTGGTAATCTGCAAAATTTATATCAAATCTGGCACAAGGTATGGTTTTGTTTGGGTATAAATGGGCCGTGGACATCAAAGTTACCACTGCACACACCTACCTGGAAATGACTGGGGATTCCTCTGGCCAGTTAATTTTTCAGATACCCTAGATTTGACTATTCCGTAAAAAAGATAATGGCAAGGTAGAGATTACTGGTGAATGACCCGACTCTAGAAAAGATGGAAAGAAAGGAGAAACTAGATAAAAAATGGTCAGATTCCAAAGTGAGCTGATCATCTTATTGCTAATGAGCTAATAATACTGGTGAGGTTGAGATCTGCCTGAAAGTACTTTAATGAACACAAATTGAGAGCATTGCTGTCTGATGTTTACTCTATGTCAACCCTAGCTAGAACCAAAAAACATACATTTTTTTTATGATTTCAGCATTAACATATATGCACATCTTTCTCCCTTGAGAATGATCATGGAGGTAAGCCTGATTACAAACCAGAGTGGGCTTCAATGTGAATTACTGACATATTGGTTGTGCACTAGCCCCATACTTAAGTTGCTGAAAAGACACATCAAAGGTAAAATTGAGGTCACTGATTTAAACCCAAATAAAGGCTTGAATTTTATGATATCGATTTCATGTTGCAACTAAATTCTATCATACATCCAACCCAACATTTTCATGAGTTCTTATTTGAAATAATTTATTTTATTTGGAATTCCAGCTAAAGGTAATTTTTATATTTTGCTTTGAGTCTCCTCAGAAAAGGGAGTAAAATAACACATGCTTGCAGTCTGCATCAATTATTAAACCATCCTCAAACTAGTTATTGTCCACTTATTGAATAAGAAAAAATATCTTTAATATCTCTTTTTCTTCATGTTTTACAGTGTCATTACTTTGCCTACATCACCCCTTTTTATAACATTAATTTGCTTTTTCCTTCTAATCTATGAATAAATTACAACTTTTGATATAAGTAGAAAAAAGCTGAAAAGTGAATAGTCTTCTCCTCTCATAAACCCCAACCAAAAGCAAATTGGCATTAACAAATTAAACTTTTCACACAATTTGAAGTGGAAAAAAATTTTTTAAAGAACAAAAAGCTGTGCTTCATCTGTATCCATCTCGACACAAGAACTATGCAAAAAAAGTTTTTTCATTATTCTTGTACCAGTATGTGTCATCTGGTTCGTCTTTCTCCTTTCTGAGTTCTTTTCCTTTCCTTTTCTTTCCTCTCATCTGCTTTTTGTTTTTGCTTCTCCTTTGCTTCTTTTATCTGTTGTTTTCTCTGTTCACTTTCTTCCTTCATCTTATCTCTCTTGTCTTTCTCTTTATCTGCTACAGATTGTGTATTCATATTTTTTACCATTCCTGTTAATTTAGAGAAGTTGCGAGGCACTGTTCAAATATTGCTCTATAATGCTCATGTGCAATGACATTTTTAAATCTTTAAACATGTTCTTCATCAGTTATTTGATCACTGATGCCCAGCTGGTGGGCAAGTTGACCCTTGCTGTCTTTACAAACTCAGGTGCTCTTAGTGAATAATAAATTAATACCTTGACAGTCAGAAGTGATCAACATCCAACTTAGTCTTAAATTATTAACACAAAGGCAAGCAAAGACATAATTGGTGTCCACAAACTTATGGTTTAACCCAAATATACCACAGTAAAACAGAGAGGATATTAGGTAAAGGAGGATTTTTACAAGAAGCAAAAACAGAAACAAATTTTGTTCATCCATGTATGGAGATGAATCTAACCATGCCAATTATCTAGAAGTTGATAGAAATAGAAAAAGTGTATCTCACTAATCCAGCAATATAACTTTTAAAATCCATCCCTTGGCTCCAGATTACTCCACCAGATTTAAAGATAAAAATGTAAATTATCAGTGTTTGAGAATCAAAGAGCTGTTGATACAAACCTAAATCCTTCTCAGCAGAAGAACATGAAGCTTGTTCATCATCACTCTCAGTAGTGGTAAGAGGTTAAGGATGTCTAATGAGTAACATCCAACAAATAATAATTTATATCATTTAATTTTACTATCAATACTCTGGGCAAAGATTTTCACTGCAAATAATTAGTTAGTTCCATTATAAATTTCTAGAGCCAAATATTAGTGAACAACATGAAGTTTCTTTGATCAAATTCTTAAACATATTAGCATAATAGAAAAAAAAGAATAGTGTGAAAAACATGTCAAATACAATACGGAAATAAGAGATACAGAAGGGCCAACTGCAAATAAAACATCAGAAATGACTATAGTGACATGGTTCATACCTGACTGAAATGTTTAATATTTCATAGCACTATAATGACATAACCTCTTAATGCAAGCTTGAATAACTATAAATCAATACTCCATTTTTAATAAAAAATTCTTTGACTGGCAAATTTTCACAAACCCTTGGATCATATTTCCTGTAAGCATGATTTGAGGCCTTCCTTTTCCACCCTTTTCTCTGATAAAAGTGACATTCAAGCATACATTGATTAGAAGAAACATGATGTACATCGCACACATGTTAAAACAGAAACAAAAAGGATATCAGTAGTCTTCATCTGATTCATGTCCATACTGAGCAAGCAAGAGCTTCTTAACTTCCCTGTCAGCATCAGCCTGGGTGGATTTTCTTGAAGACACTGTTGAGGCTTGTTTCTCCATTATTTCAGCAAGTCTGTTCTGTTTTTCTGTTGCTTTCTGTTCTGTTTGTAGATGAAGTGTAAATAAGATTTTACATCCAAACTTCATGTACCTCATTGACAAACAACATGTACCTCGTTTATCAATTGAATAGCAGTTATGTAAGATCATCAAAATTCAATTACTGCATTTTCATTAAAACATAGAGGACGTCAGATTGCTTGTTCAAAACAATCAAAGAGTAAGCAAGGAAGTGAATGATAGGGGACAATCCCTCAGTAATGTAGAAACTACTCCACCACTTTCTTCACTTGAACCCTTTGGCTGGTGTGTTAATTCAACAGATGGGTCACTCTGGGTATAACTGGATGGCTAATATTGCAGCAATTTCCGTGGGTCAGTTACTTTGAACAAAATATTTATCTGATCTATTTTAGAGTTATAAGCTTATGATGATCTGTGTGACAGTTACTTCGAAGAAGTTATTGATTTGTCTTCACTTTCATCTTTGTTCATCTTTTGCAGTCTTTTTGTTAATACATAAGAAATCGACTAGTGGATGGTCTTTTAAATCTCAAACAAAATTAATTGTTTTCGTAAGGAACAGTCATTTCATGTTGATTATTATTAATTCATATTTCAAAGTTACTCCACTTGTTTGCCAAAATGATTGCCTGGTTGTTTTTCATTAGTACCTTTCTCGAGTTCCTTTTCCTGTAACACTTCTGCCCTTGATGTTCTCCATCTTTCAATGACTTCATTGCAGAGGTCGTTCAGAGGATATTGCTGCAATTTCAAAATGTTTTCACAAAGCTGGAAATCTATTAAATAGTCACAAGAATTTTGAAAAACAACAGAAAGATCTCGCCGTACCCAAGAATGGCAGCTACATAATCTCCAATTTAAAACAAAAATTCCCGTAAGATGATAGATACCAATAAGGCCGGGCTAAATTGATGGTTGAGGTTCCCCATACACGTGCCTCACGCACCTCACTGAGTATTTCTTACCGTCATTCCGTCTAAAATACCCTTGAGTGCATCTTTGCGATCTTCGTCCGTATCCTCAGAATCTAGCACTCCTGTGATATAGCTTCCAAATACGTCTTCATCTAGGCCTAACTGTTTCATACGAGAGCTAAGCCATTCTTCAAACGCCTCTTCTTGTGTTGCTCCGTCCGCCATCTTGAGATCCTGAGCAATTCCGCTTCCCACCCTGACTGCGTTTTCAGGTTCCCGAAACCTCACTAGGGTGACATGCTGACCCGCAAAGAGTCCCGTCATGTCATCAAACATCTGAAATAAACGCAGCATCAAAGTCAGTTAAAAGTCTACAGGAAACACCTCATTTTGAAAACTTTAGAGCCTATAAAATCTTTATAAGACTGATGAAGAGCTAATGCTTGACGCTACAGCTGTAGAAGCTCCTCACAATGGTTTATTTACATTATAAACCAAATTATCTCTTTAATACCTACCTTCATGGGTGCTCAGAATTAGGCATTACCAGGAGTCTATCACTGACTTAAAAATCAATAACACCTCCTTAGTATTCCATCAGTTTAAAACTTGAGTAGCTCCCCCATGCATGTAGAATGTTTGTGTTTTCATTTTCTCTTATTTAGCCAAGGGAGGTATGGGTGAAAGATGTTATCAACAGACACATGTAGGATTGTCTCTAACCAAGAAAGTCTTTGTTCTTAGTCATAGCCATGGAAGAGACTTACATACATGGCTAAGATACCGGAACTCAGTTCTGTAAAAGCCATCAAATGGACAACTATGACACAATTTGAGAATTATCACAAAACAAAGCCAAACCAATACCTTGTTATATGCACACATGAAGCAACTCTCAACTCTTAACCCTTAACCAACAAATGGCTCTGTAGACCCCTAAAAATTATCATTCATCTTTTCAATATTTATTTCAAAGCTTATTCACAATGATTATTTGTATCAATACAAGTATTTTTGAGCATAATGACAATCCCGCTTGTAAGAGGATTTTCCCCAGTTTCTCTCATGGGTCTTGTTGTTTGGCACCTTATTTGGAGAGGCATGAGTCTATAGAATCTGTCTAGTGTGAGGCTACATCTAATGCAATCGAAAGGTAACTTTTCAAATCATTATTTTAGCCTCATTTGATGTTATTTTCATGATGAGGAGACGGAGTCCATGTCTCAGTGGCACGAAAGTTCTGTGAAATTTCCGATCCGTTTGTATCTTAAATAGTAGATTGAAAGTATTCTTGTTTAATTGACCCCTTAAAAAAAGGTTCTGTACAATTGCCAATTTAGTCAAAACTCACAAGAGTTTCTTTATTTAAAGTAAAATAGAGATCCTCGCCATGGTTTCGTTATTGACAATCCTGTTGTTGTTCTTGAGGTCGCTTGCGGGCGAACTTGCTGATGACATGGCATATATGATGCCTTCTTTATCTAGATAACGTACTGAGAACACTAATGTTATCTTCATCTTGACCGTCACCAAATCTCTTAACTAATTTTTATCATCCTCTGGCATTCGCTAAAACCCAAACCCACACAGAAGCATCACAACCGAGGCCCAATAGGAATATCCATAGAGGAATAAACACCACGAAATACGATGCAGTTATGATATCCTCAAGTCTGCAACACAGTATAATAATAAAACTAAGTTTTGCAGCAACCAGGAACAAGAACCAAAACTTCCTTGCGATGGTAAAACGATTCGGGTCTACGCCATCTTTTAAGTGACGACAAATTCGAAGCATAATGTAAAAAATCACTAAGCAATCAAAGATCAGAAATGGTATGAAGATGATGAACCAGAACCAGTCTGTTTCTTTATCCAGTCGAATGACTAAGAAGATTAAAAAAAGAAGAACAACACTCCATATGCCAAGAACTCTGTAAAATGGAGTATTCGCCATGTTCTAGGTACACCTCAAGATCCAAGTTACAAACCAAAAAACTGTTATGATACCGCTGGTTATAAGCACAGTGGTTTCCATTTTGGCTGATTTCAATTCTGAGCCCACGAAAATTTGGCTTCTTTTCAGCGGTATAACCACCGAATAATAACAAGGGGCCAAACTATGTTAGTATTGTCCTCTCAGACGCCAGCGAACGCGCCAGCGTTAACTCGCCACGTTGCCGGACGTTCATCAGCGGACCGCTGGTGTGCAACACTTACTTGTGGTTGGGGATATTTCAATGACAATTGATCATTCGTCAAATAAACTCAGAAAAAGCCTTATCCAGAAACAGACGCAGCCGTCAAAAATTACTGTTAGTACGGGAAATCCTTGAATATAATGGAGACTTCAGCCGAACAAGCTGAAGAAATCGAAGCGTTAATAGCTATTTATGATCAAGATTTTATTGTCATCGACGAAGCTAACAGAATCTATGAAATCCGCATTTGCCACCAAAGTGATTCCTGGTGGTCAGCTACTCTGCAAGTCCTTTTACCGCCACAATACCCAGACCGGGTTCCCCCTGTATTCGAAATTCATTCCGCCTGGATGAGTGATGCTGATATGTTTGAAGCCTCAGACTTGTTATATACCATTTACCGAGAACATCAAGGTCAGATTATAATTTATCAGTGGGTAGAGGCCTTGAGGACTTTCATTGATAAAAAATTTAATGATCAAGAACCGATTGATACCAAAGGATCGAGAAGTGATGTTTCCCTTAAATATCACGGTAAGCCAATACTTTTTGTCCGTTTTTATTGGGAGGTAATAATTACAAAGAAAGATTTTGGAAGCTAAGAGTAGGGATGATGCAATTACTCGATATTATTTCTTAATTTATGCATAGGCAAAGTCCACAGAATGAAATTTCTTTGTTTGCGAGCCTAGTTGGAGGTGGCTTGAATTAGTTTCAGTAATTAATATAACAAAAGTGATCATAATAGATATCAAAAGGTAAGTATACAAAACTGACATGCATGAGTGATGCAAATCAATTTGTTTTAATTTCAAACATCTTATTTTGAGAATTCTAATTGCGGTGCCGATGAAATCCTCTTAAAGTTTTCACATCAACAGTTTTTAACTATGGTGATATCTCTTTCTGTAGTATTCAATTTTCCATCAAAGCCCCTCAAATTCATTGGAACATTGCACTTCAAAATAAATAATTTGATTCAATATTTAGAGTAGTCTACATTAGAATTGATCCACTTTAAGTTTGTAGATAAGGTATGTGGGGAAATTATGGTCATTCTAGAGACTAATAGCAAGACTGTGATATTGATATTTCTGTGTAATGTTTTTGAGACTTACAACTGTAAGGGAAGGTACGTTTTTTCTTGGGGGGGGAGGGCTGGGGAATTTTGGTATTTTTTCCAAAAGAAAGTGTTGGCCCTCCCTCATGTTTTGATTAAAAAACTCCTGACCCCCCCACTTTTAGGTGACTGACAAGTGTGACCCTCCCCTCACTACCACATGGTATGCTCCATGCCATAGAAACCTCAGAACATTTTTCGACATTTTGCTTGTATTTTGCTTTGGAGCTACTACAAAAGGCTAAACAACAAGTTGAAAGAATTTTCCCTCGCCAAGGAAATGCTCTCAAAAGAAAGTCAAGAAAGCAGAAGCAGAATCACCGTAAAGCCGATAAATGCAAATGCCAGCGCTACGCAGAAAATGAAAAGTCATTTAAAACAAGAATTTTAAACATTGATGAAGAAACTCTGAATGACGAAGACTATGTAATAGATCATGGAGATTTGGAGATGAGGGTTGTGAAGGCTCATATTGGCAGTAAGATTTTGACTTCAATTGTGCAGGAAAAACAGTCAAACATTCCGCTAGCCTCTGGCTCAAATCCAGTGACAGTGACAGCAACAGGGTAGAGGGCATTGTTGGATCTTCTAGTAACTCTTCAGAGCTTAATGACTCAGGAGATCAGGCAGTGGATAGACAACAGCTGGAACAAGAAACCATACCCGAGTCAAGTATGTCACGATACGGACGGAAAAGGACATGAGTACTCCAAGAAAATTATGTGCCATGGAATAATATACATGTAGACACCCAGTAACCTTATAAAACTAGTATCTGCACCGAATTAAAAGAAACAAGTTGAAAAGAAAATACTTAGTCTGTTAAAGAAAAATGGAAAATAACATCACAAAAATTTCCATTAAAAATTCTGGAAAAGGTGTGACCCTCCCCTTGAATAGCTGAAAAAGAGGGTATGGCCCTTCCCCTTTGGTGCTCACTTTCACTGATGACCCTCCCCTCTGAGGCCCCAGCCCTCCCCCCCCCCCAAGAAAAAACGTACCTTCCCTAATACAGATCCTTGTTTGCAGCGTTGACTGTTTTTCTTTTCTTTTTTTTTTATCATATAATCTGACTTAGGTGAGAACATCAAATTATCAGAAACAATTGAAGATGGTGATTCTGAGAAGGATCAGACAGCAAATCTCAGTTGCAATGGTGAGGATGCTTTGAAATTAATCAGGAGTGAAAGATCAGACCTGTGCCCAGAGATTACTCATGGGGAACCTTTTACAGACAGGAAAAGTACTTTTCAAGCACATCTTGCTCATGTTATAATACTGGATCAAGTTTCAGGAGTACTACAAGAGTTAAAGAAAAACCGGAAAGTAAACAATGCTACCCACAATGTTATGGCATATAGAATATTTTGTAAGGACCGAAACTGTTTTCTTCAAGACTGTGATGATGATGGTGAGGCAGCAGCGGGCTCAAGACTTTTACACCTGTTACAAATATTAAATGTCAGAGATGTTGTTGTTGTGGTAACCCGTTGGTATGGTGGGATTCTTTTGGGGCCTGACAGATTTAAGCATTATAACAACTGTGCACGGAATTTAATGAAAGATGCAGGCCTCATAGATATCAGTCCACAGTTTAAAGAATCAAAACTTAAAAGTAGATTTAAACCAGGAAAAAGACAATAATGAGTTAGATCCCATTGCTGTTTGGTGGGTCAATTTTATGTAGATTTGTGTAAATTGTTGTTATATCTTCCACTTTTCCTTCGGGTGTCTTAGGTACATATGTAGTGACAAAATTTCATTTGTACCCATATTTTAAAGAAAGAAATTGCTGAGATAAATATGTATGCCCACAAGTCAAACTGATGATAAGTTTGATGTTGTCAGGCAAATAACTACGTACATGTTCCAAGAACATGGTATTGCTTTTCAGTCAATGGACTATGTAAAGATGGTCTTCAGCCCTTGAACTAGCACAATGAACTACGTCGTTATTGTGTAATTTTGGCATGCAAATTATCCCCTGTAGATTGCAGAAAATAAAAATTATATTGGGTGAAAAAAGATGTGGCTAAATGTATCCACAATGGCCATTACTTTAAGATGCAAGTTATTACCTGAGAGCAACAACTTGGGGAGGGTTTTTGAGTTAATGTTGTTTAAAATTGCATTATTTTCCCACAAACTATATTTCACATTGTTTTATACAGTTGAAACGTTTTACATATCATATGTCTTTTCATGTTTTTCTTTAAAAACCCCTTGTAAAATTTATTGTGAATCGATGAATGGCTGTATTTCATTAACCTGAACAGAGACAATGGAAGTCACTTGATGATAACTTCTGTTAGGTTTTAAGCTGTACAAGTACGTTGCCTGAAGGGAAATTGTTTCAGTTTAAAAACAGGCATTGATTTCGACCATCATGGTTTTAAATGGGGTATGGTTTGCAAGCAATCCTCAGCAGGGTAAGAATGGATAGCAAAGAAAAATAATTGCAAAAATGTAATGCTTAATTTGCCTTCAATAAAGCTACTAGGAAATTTGTATCAAAAATGACAGAAAGTGAGAGGGGATTTTAAAGGCTGGTGTGTGAAATGGGTGTGGAAAATGGCATGTTTTGGTTGGAAATAGGATCAGGCTTTGGAGTACTGAGAATTACACCCACACTTAGTATCCTATAGAGCATTTCCCTCAGGATGTGGTGGTAGCAATAATTAATTTATAATTATCAGCACACTTACTCTATGTGGCAGTTTATTGACAAGAGTAAAATATTTGCTATACCTTTGAAATTTACTGATTGTATGGACACTATTACTAGTGCTATGTTTTTTGTTTGCACAGCCCAGATGTTAACTCCAAAATAAAACATGACAAGATTGCTACTGAACCTCAAGCACTAGGAACAGTTTGAAGAAGCTTTTTACTTACTTCCAATTCTCCATATGAAAAGTCACATGTTGATCTTGACAGTAACCTGCAACTCATTACCATTATTAGGATTCAACTGCAGCTCAACGGTAAATTTGTGTCCCCCAAAAAATTGGAAGAGTGTATCAGTTTGAGAGCCAGTACAGTGAACATGTCACTTTAAAAATTCAGCCAAAGTATAAAGGTCAGAAAAATCTGTAATTAAAACCTAGAGTTAAAACTATTGCGACTTAACTAACAGGAGTCCTCCTTACATTTAGTCGTTTCCTTCGTTACAGTTAATAAAAGAAATAAAAAAATAATGTTCGCTACTTCCCTCTAAGAAAATGTAAAATACTTTTTAAAACTGATTCCTAGCAGAAATGTTTCTTCAATATATATCTGTATGCTTTATCAGCCCCTAATAGATTTAAATGAAATACCTAATATTTAAGGGGCAAAACTAACTTGTTAATAGAAACATCCCCAATAGATTTAAATGACATACCTAATATTCAAGGGGCAAAACTAACTTCTTAATAGAAACATCCAAAATTTACTCTTACTCTGATGTCTTGTACAGCTCATTTTATTCTAACTAAGTCAAAGTGGGATATTTCCATGAAGAAGCTGCCTACCTGGTTTAATCCTGTAATTTGGTTTCAAAACCACAGAGATAAAGAAGGAAAAAAATGCTGCTAAAATATTGATATCACACAGCAGAGAGCAATCACGATTTATGACTAGTCAAACCTACTTCACAGCTTCTAGAATAACATAATTTTATTGAATTCTTGTTAAACGGATGACAGGCTTACATGACTTCTGGAGCTTCTTCAGCCTTTATTCTCTAAAGCATCAATTAAAAATTGTATTCTTTGAATGGCTGACTTGCGAGCCACTCGTACATCTTCTAATCCATCTGTCTGTACTTTATCAAGATCCAAAATCAGTTTTGTTAGTTGTTCATCAAGATAAATAAACTCTCTGTCACCTTTAAAAAAGCAATATCATTAAATATATAATCAATCAAAGAATTAAGAATTGAAAGAGTCTCAAAATTGATGCATCATTATCTTTTAAACAAATAATTTGGAGAGTTTGTTTGAATTGAAATTTCTCCTCTATTCGAACCCAGAGATATAAAAAATATCTTACTGAGTTTGAGGTCTGTAACGTAAGATACTGATCCAGTGTCTGCTTGGATTTTTGTACCAAGTGCTTTGCACATGAACCCTAAAGCTGAGGGGAAAAAAACTTGGCCAATAACTTACAGGGCTGACCCTGCACTTGGTTGGCAAGAGGTATATACTGGTAGCAATCCTCTCTGGAAGTCCTTCAGTTAACTTTGCAACAAAACAATTTAAGACAATCCTGATCTCCAGCTGTACATTCAACTGCTGGGAATCTTTAAATGATGACAATACAAGCACCTAACCCACTTATCCTCTGATATGAGCTTGATCTCAAGTTATCTAATACAATTCACAATCCACATGTAACTGAGTTGAGAAATCAAAAGGAAGACAAAACAATATTTAACTGACCTCTGGTTCCTGAAAAAGATAAAACTCTTGGTTCCAATTCCTCTGCATGACAAAGCAGTGTATCGATTGAATTAATTTTAGCATCTGATAAAGGTGACCTTCGTGTTGTGTATTGACTCCGAGGTTCAGGCTGGTGATAACCTGAGCCATACATCTGAGGAGCTGACTGTGCATAGGGTTGTCTGCCTGGGAAGCCTGGTTGTTGACCCAGGTTTGTGTATCCTGAACCAACTGCATAAGAATTAGGAGGGTAACCAGGTGGTGGATGTTGGGGTTGTGACTGCCGCATCATTGACTGTTCAGTTGCATATGACACTGGAGGAGCACCTGGGTAAGGAGATGTGTGACCATACACAGAGGTTGGGGCAGGATTTGCAAATGGAGGAGCCCATTGGGTAGCCTGGGATGGAGCAGTTTGAGCATAGGACTGAGTTCTTCCATCTATCATTTGTAGTGGTTGTCCCACAGGAGTTGGGCCATAGCCTTGATTTTCTTGTTTCACAGTTCTATTTCCTGGGATACTTTGTGTATGAGGTGAGGAGTAATTATAATTATTTTGGTATGGTTGATGATGATGATGATAGGATTGTGCTCCAGGTGACTTTGGTTGTACAGGGGAGGGTGGCATTACTTGCTGCTGTTGCTGGAGCTGTGAAGTAGCAGCACCCACTACAGATGGTATTGGTGGCTTTCCTGAAGGCTGCACTTGATTAGGAACCTGTCCTGGTGTCTGATAGGCTTGATACCCTCCTGGTCCTGTTGCCTGCATTGTCTGAGCATTAGGTTGTGGTGGACCCTGGCCTTGATTCTGAGGTGAAGGTTGATATGGTCGTACCTGGTATGGTTGACCAGGAGCTGATGTTGGAGTTTGGTATGCTTGGCTTGTTCGCGAGGGAGGCAAGGGACTCTGCACAGGCTGACCAGGGTAAAGTTGGCTTGGATTCAAAGACTGAGGTTGATAAAACTGGTCAGGATTTGAAGCAGGCATCTGATATGGTTGACCTGGATATGGTGTTGCTTGATATTGTTGACTTGATTGATGAAGAACACCGGGTTTTGCTGACCCACCTAAGGCCGACACAGAATTAACAGCAGGGAATTGATATGCCTGACTGGTGTTCTGGGATGAAATTTCATAAGTTGGACCAGCAGCAGACATTGGTATCTGATATGGTTGACTAGAATCTGACCTCTGAATCTGCTGTGGTTGGCCTTGAATCATTGGCTGTGCCTCATAAGGTTGTGAAGGACTTGGTCCTGGTACTGAATAAAGCTGTCCTCCAGGAGCCATCTGATTTGGTTGACTGGGGATCACTCGGTTTACTTGACTAGATGACATTTGGTTTGGCTGACCATGTGGCATTTGGCTTGGGTGACCATGTGGCGTTTGGTTTGACTGACCAGAAGGCATTTGGTTTGGGTGACTAGATGGCATTAGATTTGGCTGACTGAAAACCATTTGACTTGGCTGACTAGATGGCAGTTGGCTTGGTTGAGGAAGTGGCATTTGGCTTGATGGAGCTGGAGCTTGGTTTTGTTGATTTGATAATATCTGACTGGATTGACCAGGTAACATGTGATTTAAATGACCAGGAGGCACTTGGTTTGGCTGGTCAGGTAACACTGGGAAAGGTTGACCAGGGTTTGACACTGGGCTTTGAGAAACTTGCCCTGAAATAGGAGGAGGCATTTGGTAGAGTTGACCTGGAGACGATGGTACTGGTGTAGAGTATTGCTGACCTGACGGCAACTGGAATGTTTGGGATGGATTCTGGTTTCCCAAGGATCCGCCAGGTCCCTGTCAAATAGAAAAGAATTTCAGTTCAGTGAGCAATCCACTGCTGAGAAGTGGTAACCATGCTTTTCACTCCAAAGTGAAAAATTATAGGATGATTCATGATGATTGTGTTTGATATTCCTAACCCTAAACCTAAGTTATACTTACTAATGCAATCTCAATTTCTCTTTAAGAAATTTAACAGGTAGTTTAATTATCTTATAATTCAAGGAACTAAATACTGGAATCAAACTATGTCCTGTTTGTGCTGATTCATGAAGGACACATCTTGCATCACTGGTATAAATCATGGTATGCAAGAAAGCTCTTGACTTCTAGTATCAAAATATTTTAATTATGGTCACAACTGTTCTGCTGTGGCTGAGTTTAGATTTTCTTGACTTCCACTCATAGCAAATCAACCACCATAATAAGAACTGTGCAGGTTTTGGTAAGTCATTGTCAAGTGTTATTGCAGGATGGAATTTGGATGTTCTAATCTTGAATAGCCAGTCCATTCAAACTACATCACATTTGTGATCACACAGAGGAGAGGATAGTCTATATTTGGTTTCAACTCCAGGTGCTACAGCAGTGTGGCATTGTGAAAAAAATCCATCACTAATCTATCACTTACACAAAGTAATAAAAATATACATGTTTTGTAGAACATGCATGCAGAATCTGATAAAAATGTTTGATGAAAAAAAAAAAAAATGGTGCAAAACAAGCACATGCCATAAAATTTAGGCCATGTGGTTGTTCCAGTCTTTTCATTTCTCTCCCACTTTTGTGTTGCGACAACAACAGTTTTGACTATAACTGATGTACTTCAATCAATCAATCAATCAATCAATCAATCAATCAATCAGTCAATCAATCAGTCAATCAATAGGTCGATCATTTTATTTAGTGATGCAGGTTACAAAAGTGGCAGCCATGAGGCTGATGTGGACCTACAATTAACTAATAAAATGTAAAATAATAAACAAAATAATTTGTAAAATCACCCTATGGTATTAAAATTCAGTACAAGTCAATAAAATGAGGTTCATTGACAAAGTAAAGTTTCAAACTAATCTAGAAATTTATGTACAGTATAATAATACCTAAAAATATACAAAATCTTGGGCTTTCATAGCTATTATGGGTGCTTCAAATAAGAAGCTATTTATGTTTTGTGAGAGCCTATGTAAAATGTTTTTTAAACTGTCTTTTGGAACATTTGCATTAAAATTTACCAACCTAGTTATAAAATTCCAGATTACAGGGCCTCTGTATTGAGCTGATTCCTTTCCCACTTTGTACATCACCCTAGGGATTTCAATCTGTAACCCTCCCCGTTGTGATGTTCTGTTGCCTAACTTCAAATTAAAAGGGGGTTATAAGACTTTATCATTTAAAATATCAAGGAAATCTGAGCATGGAGGTTATTAAGGAAAAGAAATATCACAGACTTTGAAGAATATCTGATTACATGAAGTTCTCTTTAAAATCCTTGGAAGACATCCTTGCACTGTAAGACACTTTTAAGTTAGTGTAGCACTTCTTAATAAACCAATGTCAGGACTCCTCAAACACAGCTCCAGCTATAAGCCTGGGTTAAATTTCCTCTTTCTTCAGAAAAATCACTTCAGTCAATCTTCAGCATGCCAAACTCAACTCAACAGTATCTTTGGTCAACAAGGTCTTTTACTTGTTTGATTATTACTCTTGCCAGGAACTTTCCTTTCAGTATAGAGTGAGTAAGCTAACCAAATTAAGACCATTTTGACAGAGAACAAAAACTTTCAGTACAAAGGCATTGCATTTCATGTTTTAAAAAGTCTTGGGAAGGGCAAGATCTACATTAATTTTTTTCTCAGTTCGTGAGCGGGCAGTATTCTACAAATCCTGCAATCTGATTGGTTACAAGAGTGGGCAGTATTCTCCCCATCCACCCAGCATAATGGGTGGTATCTGATCCTTTGCGTGATGAGATTACATCAATTGCGTCTTTGCAACTTTTCATTTACTAATTTGATACTTATCATGTAAAGTTTTCACTTTTTACAGTAAATATTAATTTCAGCATGGACTCAGACCACAGTGAGAGCGAGTTTTATTACCCTGATGCGGTAAAAAAATTCAGTGACAAAGAAAATATTGATTCGCAACAGAAAGAAAACCAAGAAAAGGCTCAGTTTATGATGGCGAGTGTGCAAAAGTATATTTTAACACAACGTCCAGAAAACATGGTGAAAAAAACAGAATATGACCTACACATTTGGAAAAGATTTTTTCTTGAGGTGGGTGAGGCCAGGAAAATTGAAGAGATACTGGCAGACGAGCTCAACATCTTGATATGTCAGTTCCTGATGGAGATAAAGAAGAAAGATGGTGGATCATATGGGCCGGCAATGCTACAATCATTTCAAAGAAGCTTGCAACGATATCTAAACAACAAGAACTCCAAACTGAACATTCTCAAAGACCAAGAATTCTTTAAGTCCAAGGAAGTTCTTCTTTCTAAAAAGAAACAGCTGGTTTTTGAAGAAGCAAAAGGAAATTGCCCTCATGCTGCAAAAGAACTATCCAATGCCAAAGAAGATTTGTTGTTTCACACCAGTGAATTTGGTGCTGAAAACCCTGAAGCCCTCCAATGCACAGTTTGGTGGTTTTTGGCACTGCACTTTGGAATCTGTGCCCAAGATGAAAGCAGCAAACTAAAATGAGGCATTGTTCTTCAAACAGACAAGGAAACGTGCAAGGAATTTCTGATTTGGGAATCAGAAAGAGGATCCAAGACCCACTGCGGCAATGGTGATACACGAGCATTTAATCCAACCATGCAGGCAACAAACAACAAACGTTGTCCTGTTTTCTATTACAAGGAATTCAAGAGTCACTGTCCGGAAGAAATGAATAGCACTGACAGCCCGTTTTACTAGGCCATAAATTATTGGCGACAACCTGGCAGCAACATCTGGTACATGAGGGCACCACTCAACAAAAACAAGATTGGTAAGCTGATGAAAACAGGTGTGCAATCAGCAGGCCTGCAAGGAAATTTTACCAACCACACAGTTCGAAAAACTCATACATCTTGCCTAATGGATGCAGAGGTTCCTGTAAATTTGAAGAGCCTCGATTCTTACAAAGCAGCGTCTGCCAACCATCAGCGGAAAATGTCCTTAATTTTAAGCCACTCCAGCCAAGAAAGCACTCAGACATCAACAGTATGCATCCACAAGAACTCCACTTTGTCGGTGAATCTTTCCAAAGATGTCAGTAAATCAGGAGTTTTCTCAGGCGCTTGCATCGGGAAAATTAAAGGCTGCACCTTCACGTTCAACATTGCCCGTGAAAAAGAAGAAAGCCCAAAGTCCATGAAGCCCAAGAAAAGAAGAATTATCATCAGCGATAATTCAGATTCTGATTAGTTAACTGAACTTAATCCACTGTCTTTGGAAAATATTTCCTTTGGATCCTTTGACTTTTTTCATTGAAGATTTCATCATTGCAGATTCATTTAGCTTGAATTTGTTTTCCACGCTGACAACCAGAACTGTTGTTTGCTAAAAAATGCGCATGTGATTTGTCCCTATGCGCTCTTAAATCGACAGGTGTCAGATTGTGACAGATACTTTTAAAAAAATGTTTTGAAGTTTTCTTGGAAGCCTTTTAAATCACCTTTTAATATCATTATGCAAATAAATATGTTTTGATGAAACCACTCTCTTTCATTTGCATTGCCCTTGTTTTCTCTACCATCTACTCACACAAAAATTGTTCCGTTTATGGAGAATCTTGCCATAATTATAGCCCTTTATCATTCAGATTCTTTTCAAAACCATTTGTTAGGTTTTAGAAAGAAATAAAAATGTTATTCACCATCCAAGGTTGGTCCGTATTGGGAAAAACTGTGCCCTCTGTCTTATGTACCGCCTGAGGCCTATGGCCTGGTGGTATCCAAGATAGAGGACACAGTTTTTCCCAATACGGACTTCCCATCTGGTGAATAACATATATGTAGTTACTTAATCTTGTTAGGAATGCAGATCATGCCTCAGAACAGCCTTCATTTTGCTCAGTTTTCCATAGTGCTGTATTTTTCAAAATAATCTTCTCAAATATTATTATTTCTGAGACTATTCTGGGGCTGTAAGATTATACTGTAAGAGTTAAAGAGGTCTGCTTTTATTCTCCCATTGTTTAGGTTCATGCAGGTCAAATTTTGTATTCTTTAGTGAATTTGTATTCTTCTGCTCTACTCAGCAAACTGAGAATAAGCCAAACTGTTGTATATATACCTTTGTTGTGTTACACTAACACAAACAAATGGCCAATTTGTTTAACATCACATTAACAGACCTTGGTTTTTAATAGGAAAGTGAACAAGAGTGAAAATAACTTGGCAAGAATCAACAAGACACTAGCTAGACTGGCTGTAAACATGAATACGGATTTATCAAAAAATTCCAGGAGATGAAGGAGATTTAGTTGTTACTAGTATTGAAGTTGATATCTGGACCAAGTGAATGGTTACTAATATCATCTGCAGATCCCTTTCACTACCTTGTAACTTGTACCTGGTGACTTTCATACATTTTTGAAAGTCACTAAACCATAACACATCAACAGACAACACATTGCGCCAAAACTTGTTCGGTTTTTGAAGATATTTATTGCTGTAAAAGAATATACTTAGAATTCCACTTCCGTGAAAGGTATCAGAATTGTAAACAAATTCTGGATCAGCCACACAGGTAATACGTAATACAACACGTCACTATGACCAAAAAAATGCCTTAAATTTCACAAAGTTTTCAATTAAATGAAGAGCAGCTGAACTAACACTTCTGATCAAATGTGTTTAACGACCAGATTTTTCAAGAGCATCTTAATTTTGACAAATATTCCCTCAAGTGACACAGGAAAAAATGCAGTACAACGACATTGTCTAGGTAACGATATGTGTTACCAACCAATTTATTGCGTTTTAGCTCAGCCAAAATATTATAAAATCAGTTTAAGTGATCTGTTTTATATAAATTCTTCGCTATCAGACCCACCAACATTGTTGACATTTCAGAACTACTCAAGCTAGACGTCAGCTATTAAAGCATACAAAATATCCATTTTCAATTAGTTCGAAGAAAAGCATTTTGTGACCATTTTGAGTCACGAAAACCAAGATCAAACTCACATGCATCATCAATAGTACACCTAGCACGGTGTTAAACAGCATTACTAACCTGATAATGTTTCTGCCTTACTCTCGGATCTTCCCAAGATGTTGTCCGCGTCTTATGATCGATGAAGAATGGTTTTCCAGAAGTAGGGTCCACTTTCATCTCCCAGCCTTGAGGGAGAGGCGGATAACCAGGTGTACAACCTTGATAAATTTCCATCTGATGGCTATGTGCTGTAAAGCTCAATGCAAAAGAGCTCTTCCGTCAATATTTTCAGAAGATAAATGAGTTGCTTCCACAACGTCATTAACGTCCGCCATTACACCTTGCTGATCGCAAAGAATTATGGGTCTATTACAGGTTATCTATGAAAGAGTTGGTATTTCCACACCCCGCCTGGAAATATGTTTTTTGTCTGTTGTTGTGTTGCTGTTGCGGCAATTTTTTTCCACTCTTTCGTGAAGATATTAGCCATATCAGGTTCAGCCTTAAACGCTAAGTTACATTTTGTAAACAAGGGTGAAGTAAAATTTGTAACTATTTTCTGATTTCAGAAAATTACTAGAGTGGGAAGTGGACCCTCCGCTTTGCCACTACACCAGCAAGTCGATAACTGAATTCTTAGCCGATATTTAAAATAGAGAAGTATGTGTTGTAAATCTTTAGTGAATACAAAAGCAAACCGCATATAAATTGCAACAAAATCCAAGATGTTTCACTCTGGAGAGCGGGGCTAGATGTAGACGGCCTCAGGGAGCCTTTAGCTCTTGCCGGCTCGGTCGCGGGTGTAATCAGGAGGAATAGTTTCGTTACGAAAATAGGTAAAATATAAGACCTTTTCTTAGGGTTTTCTTTCCATCCTAAAAAATAGTTGTTTGGGGATATCCATTACACCGGTCAGCTATGGACGGGAAGGGGTGCAGAAACGAAAAATTTTCCTAAAAATGTAAGTTTTTTCCATTATTTCAATGGTGGTCTCACTTACAATAATAAAAATCGCTGAACTTAAAAAAGGGGTGCAGAGACGGAAAATGTCCATTAAATCCATTCTTCTAACGTTGATCCCGGAAATACCAATAAAAATCGCTGAACTTAAAAAAACTCACTTAACTTAAAGAACTGGAATAGAGCTCTTCGTCAATATGTTGTTAGAAAAAATCATCGAGTGTTTTAAGTTGCAAGCATCGTAGCAAATTTATGCAGAGTCCTCTACAAACAGAATGGATAATCTGCTCAATAACCTATTAGTCAAACGAACACATATGTACCGTGTAGGTCTGAGAGCGTTTAAACTTCGTAAAGCGTAATGATCAGCTCGGTGCGGGGGTGGGGCTGGGGAACCCGTGTGGGATATTAGAAAAGCTGTTTTCGAGCCTTTTTCTGGTTACCCTAGTTTCTCAGGTACTGATACTTCAGTCTGCTGTAGAATCTCGAGGGAGAGTAATCTCCAAAAATTCGCGGGTTCTTGGTACGAAGATGTAGGGGGTTATTGTCCTGCAAATGTCAAGTCCAGAGTGCACTGCGTCGTGTTTGCTCTCATGTTTTGCTCCACCCTTGTTCGGCTGGGAGCGTTGATTATATCCTAAGTTTTATCATTCGAAACTTAAGTTTTCTTTCAGCTCATTTGTGCTCGCAGGTGCTTCTGTGACCGCACTTTTTTGCGAAACAGTGCTTAACAAATTCAGTCATCTAGAGCACTTATGACCTTACCCCACGCTTTGATCACACTGGATTGACTGGATTAGACAACGCCAGCTGATCCAGGGATTCATGAACATATAAAGATAGGTGTGCTAGTGTTAGAGGCTGGTTCGCAAAGCAGAAATTACGATTGAGAGACCAGTCTTCGAATACAGGCGGCTACATTTTAGTCCGGTAAAAAGCTACAATGTTGGAACCAAAGGACCCGGATCTTTTGTGGATAGTTATTGTGGGTTTCATTGTTGCCTTTGTCTTGGCTTTTGGAATCGGAGCAAACGATGTAGCGAATTCATTTGGAACTTCCGTGGGAGCCAAAGTGTTGACTCTCCGGCAAGCCTGCATTATTGCAACGATCTTTGAACTGTCCGGAGCAGTTCTCATTGGAGCCAGAGTATCAGGTAACGGCCATCACAGGATACTGAAGAGAGTGTTTGACCTTAATTAAGTTTGACCTTGGAGGTTTCACCATGTCTGATGAATTTATTATGTATTCAAGATGCTTCTCTGTCCCTTTTGATTTTCAATGTTTATGGAAAGGGGTGATTTCATTATCTTAGGCATACTCCTCATTAGCAGATGTTTTTGTACGAAAATCGTCCTGATTGTGTTGAACAATGATCGTAATATTGCCTCAACCCATGAACAATTCGAATATCGTGAGATTAAGCTTACTGATCAACACGATATGAATTTAAAACTTCATCTTCAATGGCCCTGGAAGTTTACATAATAAATGATTGTTTTTTAAGGGAAGTTGATATTAGTTTCCAGTATTTCCATACAACAATAGCAGCTCAGAGTACAAGTGTGTTCACTGATCCGATTCATTCATCTCCACAGCTGAGTGGTTTTTTTAAGCATTTGAGGATACATTCAATTATTTTAAGAACCGAAAAAAACTTTTGTGAAAACATTCTTGTCCTTCTGACATGATTATTTTCTTTTTGCCATGGAGTTATTGAAAGATGTCATTACGTGGCTTCTATTGTTTGCAATTTGCAAGTTTGAGGTTTCACATTTGACCGTTACGAATGTAATTTCCAAAGTGGTTGGAAGGGCTGAATGAATATGTTTTTATGTTCAGTGAACTGTTTCATGTAATTTTGATAATTAGGATGCAAGTTACTTAGATTTGTGTCAGACAAGGTCACAATTTTAAGCTAAATGAACACTATTCTGGGTTTAATAAATATTCATGAAATGCAGCCATAAAATAATAATTTTTCTGGTTACAGAATAACTCAAGAGATCACATCATAGTTAAGAGTAATCAACAAGGGGGTTAACTGAGAATGATTAACACCAGTTTTCAAATTTCTAACTTCACTAATGTGGCCTGCAATGTGACTGCTCAAGGTGATATTAGAACTGTGAGAGAACAAAAAAAACTTTTAACTCGGGATTGGTCTAAGCTCTAAAAATAAAAATGTTCTGAAATTTTTGAGTTTTATGCACTTGGTTTAAATATGTTATTAACAATGTCCAGAAATCATCTTCTATGTAAGCTTGATTTGCTAGTCACTTATTTCCACTTCACCAGCACTTTTAATTTGATAGCTCAAGTGGATCAGATTACTGTGATATAAATGGCCTTACCCATTTTCCTTCTCTTGCAATTTTGAAGTCTAATTTGTAAAATCACAACAAAAACTGTTCAGGTTAGTTTACTTAATTAAGTCTAATTTTCAAGAAATGATAACTCACTGATATCATCCTTCAGACCAAATTATTAAAGGGACATGAATATTGAAGCTTTTGTTTTTCTTGTTCATAGACACAGTAAGGAAAGGAATCATTGATATAAACTCCTTTAATGGTACTGAAGAACTGGCTATGATTGGATCACTGAGTGCTCTCAGTGGTACAGGAATATGGCTGATAGTTGCAACATTTTTTAACCTTCCTGTGTCAGGGACTCACAGTGTTGTTGGTGCTACTATGGGTTATGCATTAGTGGCACATGGGCTTGCAGGAGTCAAGTGGAAGACTTTTGGACTCATTGGTGAGTCTTTTAGCCTAAAGAAATCCATCATTCTTGATTACAGTTGGGGATGATTAAAAGATTTGGATCAATATCAGTATCTGGGCAACTGCCCACCTACCCCTCCCCTAACCTAACATTCACCCTAACTTGTTATCAATTGACTGTTATTGGGTTAGGGGAGGGGTAGGTGGGCAGTTGCCCAGATACTGATATTGATTCAAGGATTTAGTAGAGAGAATTAGTCAGTTGTTGTAAAACATAGAGCTTATCAAACTAGATTCCTTTTTTAAATTGATTTTATAAAACTTCAATTACAACAGTTGCCTTATCTCTGTAACAGAATTTTAAAACCTTCATTATATGTTTGAAAAATGAAGTAGAAACCTGAAGGTATTTTTTAATAATCTTGGTCAAGTGTTGTTGATGACTATGATAGTTTTGGATTTTTTATGACTATTTACCTTTTTCTATTTGTAGCTGCATCTTGGGTCATATCTCCATTGCTGTCAGGACTTTCAAGTTCTATCATCTTTGTTCTTATTCGACATTTCATACTTTCCAAGGTAAGAAACCAAGGTTTGATCGAATGAAAAACTGTACCTAGTTTTTGTTCTTGTGCAAGGAGCACTTATTAAATAATAGTATAACTACAAATTAGGCAGTTTTCATATTTAATAAACTTCATATTTCTGTGGTTGGGAGAAGTAAGCTTTTTATTAAACTTTTACACCTCCACAGTTTCTAACTGCCAAGCAGAAACGGAATTTATTGCTTTGTGTATAGTCTTTATCTTTAAAGCAAAATATGTGGAATGTAATGGGATGCTGCTTGGGTTTGTGTTTTTTTATTTTTTAACCCATTTCTAATTACATTTAACTGAAAAAGGTCTTAGTTTTTTATTAGTGAATCTGAAGCCTTTTGAATACACCAGGTAATAGTACAGTCCCCTGACTTATTTTTTGTTGCTTTGTTTTGCTTTATTTTGTTTGTTTGCCAAATGTTATTAGCCAAGTCTCATAAAAATTAATGCTAGTATTGGTTGACAGAGAGAGCTTACATAGCATTGTGGCAAATATTGAGTGCTTTTCTAATTGACTCAGTGTTATTTGTATACTGCTTGATTTATTTTCAATTGAAAGAGTTGCACTATTGATTAGTATCTGTAGTTTGATACAGATTTTGGTAATGAATGTACATTCCCTGAATCCTTTATTAATTTGAAATTTTGATGTACAGTTATTGTAACTTTTTTTCCAGATTAACGCATTTGATATTGGTCTGAAGTCACTGCCTTTATTTTATGCCATAACAATAGCCATTAATTTCTTCTCAGTGTTCTACAAGGGATCTCATGGTAAGAAGAGTTTCTGTAGAAAACATTGAGATAACATGATTTTTGATATAAAGTACTTTTTAATGGTGTAGATAAAATCTGTAGGGTTTTTGATAATTATATAATTTTTCTTTTAGAGGTACTTTCATTATTTGGTCAAATTATTTTACATCATTTCCCAGTTTAATTAAGTTTTCTTTAATTTGTTTTTCTCCATGACCAGAAAATGTTTCTTAAACCAGTAAAATAGGGGGCACTCTCTAGCTTATAAACCTTCTTTATTTTCATCACTTGTTTCATGAAGAA